AGTCAGAATAAATAAAAATGTACAAATGTTCATCATTCTTTGTGGTAGAAATTGTAGATGGTTGTGCTGATGGTTTATATTAAGGCTAAGATATTTGTAAGGTCAGTCTGACTTCTCTCATCCCAAAGAGGAGACTGATGGTTGACACAAAAAGTAAAATAGATTAAAGTTGATCAATTTTGCTCCAGACTTTTTGAGGCGAAGTCAATTTTCCTTGAAAAGCTGTCCCCAGAACATGTTGAGATGGTCTGAATGGACAGCACATGCAGTGAAGAGCCACTTAATCAGTGCCCCCATCCTACTGAATCTCTCAATTACTTCTCTGTTGGTAATGGAGGTTTTGTCAAAAGCAAGCAGGGTGCTTTTGGGTTTACTGTAAAGGAGGGAAGTGGGGATGTGGGGACTTTGGTGGTATACTAGGACTTCTTACTAGCGCCCAGTTCCCCTTTTCTTCCCTATTTTACAGTTTCATTTGGCAATTCATCATGGCACTTTGATACATCGCCCATGGCACACTGTTTTATCCAGCAGCCACTGTCCTCTCCCAACCAGGTCTGCCTCTGTAGTGTGATGGAAGTGGAGTCAGCTTTGTTTTATCACTCTCCAGTGGACTCCTCCAGCGAGAGCCTTGATGTGGTCTTTGCACCAAAGGTATTTTATGGTTTGTACACCCTGATAGAAAATTGGATATGACCATAGTGATGCAGACATGAAGAGATTCTTTGTTCTTGTAATTTTTTCTACAGATGTTTGCTCTGAAAATCAGTGCTATCTTCCTGTATATTTCATAGCAGTAGAAATCTAGAACATAATATTAAAATAATAATACAGTGATGTTAGACAGCAGTTTTTTTTCCACTGAAAGCATTGCGCACACACCACCTCACATTACAAAGACAAGGCTCTGAAAGGGCAGACTGGACTAGTTGAAATTCATACAAGGCCAGTCATGCAATTCCTAAATTACCCATGCTCATTAATGCACGACACTTAACTGATTGTGCTTGTACCAGTGACCTTTTTTATTTTCACATGTGACAGCTGATAAAAGAAGACACACCACGGCTATTCATATTCCTCAACCCAGCTGAAATTAGGGTCAAATGCAGTAACCCCACATTAAACATTTTCACATAGCTCAGGGCCCTGATACCATAGTCTTGTATGAAAACATTGTTTCTGGCTGTTTTATCAAAAATTAGTCAGTAGATGAAAATGTGTGGGGGGCTAATGACATGCCATTGTGTTTTTCAGGTGCACACATTTCTATATTAACATATTTAAAATTGCAGCGTTGCTAAATGTCAAATTGTCAGCGTACTAGTTACACTTGACGAAAGCACAAAGCCGAGATGGGAAGCCTCAGTTGTGTTGGTTCAAACAGCAGTTGTGTTGTATATCACTGAGGAGAAAATCGTCTGACTCCTTTAAAACCCCTGGTTTGTCCTGGAAGCTATCAGTGTAATTCACAGCAGGGCCAGTAATAGCCTCCTCTTGTGTGATAACATCTAAACGTGTTCAATTCTACAGCAGGCTGACCTGAACAGTAATAATGTAGCAGAGGTCAAACTAACCATACAACTGGCGCAATAATCAATTAAGCATAATTCACTGTACTTATTCTGGCAACAGAACCACAATCTAAAAGAGGAGGCTGTACTTGCCTGTTCTCTTGGCTTTAAGATAAATCTGTCTAAGAATTCACATATTCACTTCACAATGAGGAATGATAGGATTTTTCATCCTAACTGCCTGACAATGGGGTGTTTTATCAAGAGCAGGCTTGTGGAAGAAAATTAATTGCAGGGACACTTCACAGCTTGAGAGAAAGCAGCGAGGACAGGGTGGCTGAAAAAAAAATTCTTAAAAGTCCTGTCTTGGTTGGAGTTCATTGTGCAACATAAAAACCTTTAAGACTTAAACAGCTAAAGCTTTTAATTAGCAATGCTTTTGTGTCTGTTAAACATTCATTTTCTTCAGTGTTTTTTTTTAAGGAAAAAAACGGGTTTGTGTACATACTTCTTTTCATTGAATTCAATAATTAATATGACAAATACAGTTACAGAAAAGAACATCAACAGTGTGCAGCACATTTCAGAATGAGTATTTGTTCAGTTTGACAGCCTTCAAAGTGATTGAAAAGCTCATTCTTTATATGAACTTGGTTGCACTTTTGCATGTTTACTGTAAAATATATTTGCTCACATTTTTACATCTGTTAAAATAGCCTTTTAAATACCTCTTCAAACAAAGAATTTCACCTGTCTTTACTCAAGCCAAGTGTGAAGTTATGTGGTAAAATAAACACCATACATGAACCAGTCGACAGTGAAGTTGGGTAAAACACAAAAATCTCTTTGGACTTGGGAGTCCTTTTCTCTTCCAACTCAGTTGCCAGAGCAAAAACTACAACAGCAGGATCACTGCTATACTGCTGATTTAATCCTGAAAAGATATGAACACCTGAGTCTCAGCACAATACAAACAAAACTGTACAAACTACTTTTTTAAAGGTGGGTCTCAACCTTTGCCCTCTAACTCTCCAGAGACAAACAAGCAAAAATAAAAGTTCTCAGTCAGGCTAAGCAGAGTGTACAACAACAACTTTGTACCATGAGTTGTGAGCTGAATTTCATACCAAACAAGCATGGCTCCCCAAAATCATCCCAAGGACAATATGCGAAGTGTTGTAATACAATCACTCCACAAACACTGTAAATATTAGGGTTTTATTGCCAGGATAAGGTCAAATTACGTGTTAGCTGTACCCAAATGATAAACAAACTGTGTCTTGTCATTTTAAGCCAATAGATTCAATTGACAAATCACACACTCAAAATGTCACAACCTCCTCAAATGTTATCACTTGTTATGATGAGCTCCAGGCCTGGCTTAAGACCCTTCTCCTCCTCTTGGTTGGCTGAGTTTTAATCACTACTTGTGGCTTGTCAATATAATTTTCTTTGAAGAAATGCATGAGATTTTCAAAGACCAAGAGGATCAGGCAGGAAGCATGACTGTGGACACCAAAGAGACACCTGTGAGGGCTTTGAACTGGGAAACCAAGCAGGTGTCCTGGTGGCAACAGTCAAATGGAGCAAAGGGATGTTCAATTTAGATAAATGAACCAGTGCATTTTGACAGTGCAAAAGGATAATGACTGAAACCATTTAGGAGGATGAAATCACATACCAAACCCTAACAACCTTTTAAAATGACAGTAGTTTACTCAAAAATGTGCAGATATAGGCTTCAATTTGTTGTATTAAACACAGGAAATAACAGGAAATGGTTTTTGTCGTTGAAGTTGTATGAAGTCACCAGTGGTCAGATTACAATGTTCAAATTGTCCCAGCATGTACTAGATCTCTGCATGTTAGCCTGTTATTTGCTGATTGAAGTGTTTCCCAGAGAGAGTAACTGACCCAATCTCAGTCCACTCTTCTGACTTGATACAGAAAATAATGGTGTCCTGACTCCCCCCAACCCCCTTGGCAGAATTCAAAACCAGCAGGTAGGTTGGTCCCATTTTTTGAGAACAAAACTATTCATACATACGTTATCATTCAAATGGCTCATTAGGTCTGCCAGCAGATCACAGTTTGCTGGTTTTTACCATTATGGTAGGCTATGATAAGGAAGGGCAAGTTGTAAAGCTGAATTTTAAACACAGTTTTTCAACTTGACGTCTTTGAAAACTAAGATGAAAGGTTAATTTGAGGAAAGGCAGTGAAAAATAATTGGTATTTAGATTTAAAACAGCTGAAATCATCCTGGTTTACCCAAAGCGATAGAAAATTATGTTTTGCTTTGAAAATAAATTAGCTCACTTATGCTTAAAATGAGAAACATATTCAGAGATATTGAGATTCAAAGATAATTTACTTAGAAAACAAAAGAAAAAAAATTAAGTGAGTTTCTCTAAAGCTTTGAATCATATGAAATCTTCACCCACTACCTTGAACATATTCTCAATGAACATGGTCATTGTGCCTTTTTCAGGAACCTCTCTTGACCATCTGTTGAGATAATTCTCAGATTATGTGGTCTGATCCAAACCTGTGGTGCAGTGTAACAAATGATCGTCTGTGCTTAGGTTTCATGTAGGGGTAGGCTTACTTTATTTAACTTTTCTTGTACAGGACAAACAGTTAATCATTGTCGAAGTTTAAAAAAGAAATCAAAAAGTGTGTTCATTTACTCTTTGCACCGGCAGCTCTTAACTCAAAGATATTTATTAACAAACCATTGACCCGTAAGGAAGAAAATGAAACTCGATTAACAAAAACTTTAAGCAGATCAGTAGCTAAAGTCTTTGCAGAGAGAAGTAGGTGTTGTAAACAAGACAGCTCACACTGTCTTGATTACAACTGAAGCTAACACGACACCGGCATCCTCCAGTTCAACTTCATATTGACTCAGGCTCTACATGGCCTGACCAAATGACACATTGAAAAATTTAAGAAGCAAAATGAAACAATAACCTTTCCACTAACGTCTTTGCTCGTGTTTTTCGCTGTCGCCTTCTGTGCCTGGATCGTAAAACACCAGTGCATCATCATTTTTGGTCCCTGGCAGCTCACTTCCGTTGTGGCTTTTTTAATTTGCATCCGTGTATTTTTGCAGTAACTATTTTTTTTTCTTTTTTGCATCACCACTTTTTTTTTTTGCATCATTGACTTCTGCTGCTTTTTAAATTCATTTATTCAATTTTATATGCGACTTTTTTTTCTTTTTGTTTTTTTTTTGGCATCAGTAACTTCCGTTGTGGTTTCCTTTTTTTGTTTTGCATTCTTTTTTTATTTGTGGGGGTTCTCGGCCACCCTAAGAAACCAATTTACAGAGAAAAAACTATGATGCATAGCTAAAAAGTACATGAACTTGAAGGAGAGAGAAAAGTCCACGTTTATTTGACTTCACTTCTCCCTGCTGGGCCAAGAAAACACTGCAGCCGCTGACATTTACCGTTTCCTGGTCTTGAACCAATAGCGACGCAAGCTGAAGATCACGTGGTTCTCCTCTGACTTTTGACGTGCAGGAGTGCAGCGACAGATTGAAGACGGTAAGTTTGAGACAAATTACTTTTCTCCTGCCCTGTCGTGTCTCGCATACAGTTAAGATTCCCACCGTGAATGTTTTTAACGGTTTCAAAGCCGAAATGAAGCGAAGCTACAGTATTTTTTTAACTGAAACGAGGATTGTAATTGAAGAAGCAGTGACACATTGAAGTTATGCAATGAACAGATGAATCAAGGCAATCTGTCCTATGGGCATGAGCTGGACGTGCAGGGATGTATCCCGATTTATAGAGTAGCAGGTGTGCTACACAGAGCAGTAACACTTTGCCCAATACAGCCATGAAAGACACGTGCAGGCTGCTATGCTTAGCTCCATAGTAAAGTCCAAGCTACAAAACATAGGGGAGAGTGGGGTAAGTTGAGCCACCCCCTGTTGCTTGGAAATGGTAAAAGAAATTGATCATGTGACCAAATATTTAGGAGATGGGCATCAATACCAGCTGAGTAGTGTATAATAGATAAAAATACACATGAATATGAAGAAGTGACTTTTATTTAGGGAGAGAGAAGGTGAGGGAGGGCTGGGGTGGAGAGTGAGGGGGTAGCAGGGATACAGCTCAACTTACCCCGCTCCTATGATCAACTTACCCCATACACAGGGTAAGTTGATCATAGGAGACCACTTTTTTGGCATGTTATTTTATCAAGACAGTTCTGTTTACACTCATTCTGTTGGTTTGCAGGGATGAACAACATCTTGAAATATATGCAGATACACTAGTTAGAGACAAAACTATGATTGACTTGATGTAGAAATATAAAAAATAGCTCATCTTACCCCACTCTCCCCTATAGCCTGAACACTGTCATTGTAAAAAGGAAATGTCAACAGCTAATGCGGCATACTTTTAAAGTGGCAATTTCCTTAAAATTGTTCGTTTGAGTTTTGTCTAATGGAATGTCAATAGTATTTACATCCCCTCTGTGCTACTCATTTACGTGTCAGTTTAATCTCCACTGCTAAACACAGGCAGTTTGGCTTTGCTGTGAATGCAGACCAGAAGAAAGAAAACTTTGAACATGTGTTATTCCGTTGTAATTTTTTTTGCATTTACATTCATTTGAATGTTAAAGCCTTTGAAGTTGATGTTTCATGAATGCATTTCATGTATCTGTCACAGCAAAACTTCTGTCAAAAAACAATAGTTTTACAAAATACAAAGATACTTTGTAGGCTCTTATGAATACTGATCGTCCCACATGGGTCTATCAAGGGAAAATATCTGGCAGTAAGATGTTAATTTCACCCTGGAAAGAACAAGGCAGGTGATTTTCTTTTGGGTGATTATGCATAATACCAGGCTGGTGTTGTCAGTCTAAAGCTTTTGGCCAGAAGGAAAAGGAAAAAGAGGCCGAAGGGGAAAAGTTGAACTCAATGAGTAAAGAGTAAAGACAATGACTAACTGAACTAATCTGTCCTTTACAAACTGCTTCTCAGTTATGTTCAGCTGACTTGCATAGGTTAGTCCCTCCTGAAACTGTACAGGCTGACTACAGCTTAATGATCTGCAAAGAGTACGGTGTTTTATTAAGAAATTATAAAACACAACCATAACAAAACCATGAACCGGCACTCGCAGATCAGAAGGTATTTCTTTGCAGGTAAAATATAATTGTAAGAAAGACTGTTACAAAATCAATATGTGTATTTACAACCTGAGACTTTGCACCTACTACATCTGTTACAGAATACTTCTAAAGACCGCTCTTGTTGAAGGACTCTCAGCCATATCAGATAAGCTTCAATGATATAACACAAGGCAATCTCTGTCATGAGTTCCATAATGCTTTAAAATTAAAAGGCTCTAATTTTTTTGTCTTAAGTAAACTTGAGTTGTGTCTGCTACAAATTGTATGATGACAAATAGCCTGTCAATAATTCTAAGCCTGTCAAAGATTACTTCACAAATCAAGCGGGAAACTCAATAAGAGCTCGATCCAGCATCATACCCTCAGTACGCCTGTTCAAGGTGAGGATAACTTTTCAGCAAAGTTTGATTGCAAGTAGTTACATAATATGTCTGTAATTTAATGACTCTCTACTTTGACTATACTCCTCACTTTAAGCGTCTGCACACTGAAAGCTGAAATTATCTTCAATGAGCATGGGCGGGAGTTTTTCCTTCTAGTTAAGAATGGGAGCCTTTTTCATCTAAATGAACTTGGTATTACTATTTCTCTTTCTTTGTTTTTCTCCACAGCAGCAGTGAAAGGTGCACTATGGGCCGTCTGGATGGGAAAGTGATCGTGTTGTCAGCTGCGGCGCAGGGAATCGGCCGTGCTGCAGCAATAGTAATGAGCATTGATATGACTTCTTGCTGATATATCTTCTCTAAATTCACAGAGAAAAATTGTATATTAAGTAGTTTATTCTGCACAGACGGAAAGCTATTTGTATTTTGACTTTATTATACATTTCTGGCTGTTGTTTAATGCATACAGAAGATTTAAATGTGGCTGTTGCGCTAAAAAGTGCCATATGTCATGATACAGATAATTGGGTTGATACAAAGTGCAGCTTTGCTATATGATATAGATGTGAACAATTTTCCTACCAAATTCACCATTGAACCTTGCACTTGATTGCAAAAAATATGGCCTTGGTTTGCTTTCAAAAAACTCCATCGAGACTATTCAGGATATTTAAGAAAACATCCCTTATCCATCTTATTCTTTCTCTATATATCTTTTTTTTTTTTTTGCATGAAATTGCTGAGAAGCTAAGAAAAAGAAAACATGCTACACAGCCTGGTACAGATCAGGTCATCATTATCACATCCAATCCCATCAATTGATGTCCTCCTGTGTTGAAAATGTGCTTTGTTTACCGTGTTTACTGCAGTGTGAAAGAATTCACACACAGAAAAGATCTTTTAATGTCTCAGATCATTAGCTCCAAACAACATGGCATTAAAAGTGCAAGAGGCCTATTGAACATGCTCTAGCTAGACTATAAAGGAAGTACAGCTGTTGATGTGTCGGGTGCTGTGGTTAATGGTGCGGACACTACACAGCTTGCACCTGACCGAAGGTGGAATGAAGCGACTGCGCGTAAATGGGAGGCAACAAAAGGCTAATTAGTGTTCGAAAAACCGACCGTCCTCTTTCTGTTCCATGTTGAGTTTCCTTTATTTTAAAAAAGAAAAGATCTTTAAAAATTTTGTTTGGATCACAGGGTCTCATTTCTGCATTGGAGTAACAAGCAGTAAGTTTGTATTCTATGACGACTTGAACAGACGTATATTTACTGGAACTTACTCAAGTTTTCCATCTGTAGGAATTTGCAAAGGAGGGAGCTCTAGTCACAGCGACAGACATCAATGGAGAGAAACTGAAGGAGCTGAACGGCATTCAAGGCAAGATTTGTCTCTTTATGTGAGGCTGACATCTGCTGGCTAACCAGAGTAATGCAGTCACAATAGCTGAGATGTTTGACTTTCCTCCTTCATTCATTTTTTTCATTTCAGTGTTTTAAAATCAGTAATATTTTTTATTTTGATAAATCAATGTAGTGATTCATAATAGTTGTAAAACATTATGAAGTAGCTTTATTTCAGAAGTGTAGATTTGTATTTTTAGCAGGTCATTAGTGAATTTAAGGAGCAGGTTTACCATTGGAACTGTCCCTTGCTGTATTCGGAGTGAAACAAATGGACACCTCGGTCAATTCCTCCTTTAATATAACTCTGATTGGAAATTTTCTGTTAAATGAATAATTAACATGAAAGTTAATAATAAAAGTAAATTTAATTCTTGCAAGAATGGAGCACAACCAAAGCATCAATGAATACACAAAAGTGTTCCCTGATTGTGGGGGTTTCAGTCTTTTATCCCCGCTTTCTCAGCCCTCTTGAACCTTCGTCACCATTTCCAAATATGGTCAACAGACTATTTAAACAAGTCACACTTGCACCTTGTTTCATTCTATTTGTTATGCTCCTACTGTCCTTGCATGGTGTCAGTGTGGCTGTGACCTTATCTTCTCAGTGAATCCACACTCTTGGAATTTTACAACCTCTGTGCACAAGCAAAGCACATAACTCCCAGCTGCCTTTCTCTTAAGCTGCTAGATGAAAAGAAAAAAAAAAAAGATTGCTTCATGTTACACTAGTATCCCCTACAATAAAATACAAATAACACAGGTGGTTTGGGTATTATAGGGATGTAAACCAGTGAAACTCTCATTCCCACTTAAAGTCCTTTCCCTCTCATCAACAGGGATCAAGACCAAGGTTGTGGATGTCACGAAGACGGACCAAGTAGAAGCCCTGGCCAAGGAGCATGACCATGTAGATGTGCTGTTCAACGTTGCCGGGTACTCTGCTTCTACTGTTTTGGGAAAATCTATTGCATAGGGTGCCATACCACTGCATTTCCCATTTTAATGAGCACCAGTATTCATCAGCACAGCAATTCCACACATAGAGATTGACCAAAATTTTCTTTTCACTTTTGTTTTCTGCAATATTCTTTCTAATAGCAGTGCTAAGCTGTCAAGAATGAACCAAAAACTTTCATAAAACAAAACTTGATATTTGTACCATTTTTTTGTTTCAGTCAGTCAAAGTGTGGAAAGACAAAGTAACACACTTTTATTTTAAGTAATGATATAAGTTGTGAATAAAAGGTGTGCAAAGCTACAGAGATTTACTTTTTTCCAAGTGTCTAAATGTAAGAGCAGAGTATAGATAAACATACAGGCCTACTCCTGCCTTGGCATTTGAAATACAACCACAAGCCTTCTTATAGTTCCAACAGGCCTCTACTTTAATCACATTTATCCACCCCTTGACTTCATTTCCAAAATCCCTATACGAAAAGGTTTAACCTCTACTTGGCCTTGTGTCAAGCTCCTTAACAAAGGTCTTTGAATTGACACCTTTTAAGACTAAGTCATATGTAGAAGGGGGTTTCATACAGCATCACCTCCAGCATAACATTTTAGTAAATATTCTATATGTCATTTTGATCTCCTCTGCCATCTGCTTTTAATCTGATTGACACCTCAGATGATTAACCTCTCTGCCAAAGCCATGTCTGAATTAATCTACATGTACAGTGAGTCTGTTTTTGCAAACTCTTTAAGGTTACATCGTGTCCACTGTCGACAGGTTTGTGCACCACGGCACCATCTTGGACTGCAAGGAGACCGACTGGGACTTCACAATGAACACGAATGTCCGCAGCATGTTCCTCATGTGCAAAGCTTTTTTGCCTAAGGTGACCTTTGCCCACCAAACCAAAAACACAACACTATTTATCCTGTTGCTGAGAGGATGACAGAGGTGCTTTTGTACAGTTAGCGACATATGCTTTGATTTTGTTCTCATCCTTTGTCCTCTGGGATTAGCTGTATTACTCTGAGCCTGTGCCATGATGGGCGGTGACTGCCCAATCACTAATCCAGCTTTAGCCGGCAAACTCACCAAACTGTCTCAAACGGATCATTGTACCTTGGATCATAGCAAAAATGTCATTTATCGTTTTGTTAAAAAAAATCATCCTAAATACTGTTTCAAACTTTACTCTTCACATGCCGACCTTTGTGATATCTTTTGTTATTGTAGATGCTGGAAAAGAAGTCAGGAAACATCATAAACATGGCATCTGTTGCATCTAGCATTAAAGGTAAATAGTCGTCTATTAATCTTTCCTCTTTAGATGAGTGTAAAACAAATATTACACTCAATGAAAAGGATATTTTGCCGTTTAAGTAGGACCATGAACACTGTAATCCTCTTATCTCAGATAATTGTTTGCAGTGGTGTGTGCGTGAGTGACATATGTGCGCTGCCCTCCTCTCAGGTGTTGTGAACCGGTGCGTCTACAGTACTTCAAAGGCTGCAGTGATCGGGCTCACCAAATCTATAGCAGCTGATTTCATTGACAAAGGCATTCGCTGCAACTGTGTTTGTCCTGGTAAGTTCAGAAGGCCCCTACAAAATAAAAGCAAGTCCTTTTAGTGTACTACTTGAGCTTTTCCCCAAGGTTGTTAGCACTGTAGTAGATAATACACTGCAGACATCCTTGAAAGCAAAACGTGTTTACATTCACAGACAGTGTGTGCATCAGGTATACAACTTCAATTACTGCCATGAGTATCTTTTACCTTTTATATCAGCAAACCCCATTTATGCACATCTTGTGATCAAAAACATCCACAATGTCAAGGTTGTTCTTTCATATTTTTACAGGTACTGTTGATACTCCATCACTTAGAGGAAGGATCCAGGCTCAACCTGACCCAGAAGAAGTATGAGTACTTCATTTCTCTAGCCTGTACTTGACATCACACAACAAATATGTTATCTTATCTCTGTTTCCATTAGAGGAAATCCTAATGGTCAGGTATTGCATATGGTAATGTCAAAAATTTCAACTCCACAGGCCTATAAGGCTTTCATGGCACGACAAAAGACTGGCAGGATGTGCACAGCTGAAGAGGTGGCATACCTGTGCGTGTACCTGGCGTCAGATGAGGTGAGCGCTTGTCAACTGATCCTTGTCCTGAATGTTTATTGCACAGTTTATCTACAGGAAGTGTTTGCAGGGCTGCGTTAACAGATTAAATGTAGGCTTGGGTACTTTGAACTTGCTGTAAAAATGTAAGGCGAACAACCAAGTGGAAGTTGCAAATAAAAGCTAATTAAACCCTCACCCTGGATATGTCAAATGCAGATTTAGTCATTCAGAATGCATGTGTAACCCTGATTTATGTGTGTGATAGTAATGCAAGTAAAGCTAATGAGGACTTTTTTAACTTTTGTTTTGGGCTCCTCCACAGTCTGCCTATGTAACCGGGACAGAGCACATTATTGATGGAGGCTGGAGACTCTGAGAACACCTCTGGAAGCTCATCTTTGCAACAGACGGCCCAGGCACTTGGTTGTTTTCTTGTTTGAAGCCTAAATAAAGTTTATATAAAATGTCTTCATCATGCAAAATTATTCTGTAGAGACTTTTTAATTCTTTCACTGAAATCAATTGTGCAAACCTAGTTTAGTTTAGTTGTTTATTCAAACAGGTGAAAAGAAAAAACAAAATAAATACAATGTGCCTTGGCAAAAAAAACAATTAAAGAGACGGCTCTGTAGCAACATGAATAATCATACTTTCTTCGGAAGGGTGTTGGATGAAGTTGATAAAACTTATCTCGTCCCACCCCTTTATTGTTGTGTCACTATAATTTAATCAGTCAGATTATGTGTAGGAATAACAGAACAGAAGTAAGAAAATATATCCGAAAAAAAGGCACATTGTTATAAATTCATGTTTCTGTTTCTCACTTATATCCACTCAGAATGTGGTTTATAAAAATAAGTTTGAACTTGCTCAGTGATCTGCAGGTTTTTATTCCTTTGCTGCAGCTTTTCCACATACAGGTACAGGTACATACAGGTTGTTTTTTTTTTTCAAATGCATATTCCCCTGAGATTATGTTTGTTTTCTCTTATTTGAAACAACTTTTGGATGCCCTGTGGTAACTGATCCTGATTTGCTCTGCATGATCTGAATTGTTTTGAGGTAGACCAAATCCTTCAGTCTGATGAAGAGTAGGTTTGATGGTTCTCTGTAGGTACTTTTATTTACTATTTTTATTGCTCTTTTTTGGAGTTTGTGTAGTGTGCACCTATGCACCTCTATCCTGCTCATGTCACAGCAAGAATAAACGTCAAAATCATACATGCAAAAATTATTCAGGTTTGGAAATTAGTGAAAAAATAAATTTAATAAATTGTGGTTGAAAATATGATTCATAGTGAAATATGTTTAACCGGAATTAAAAATTTTTGACCAATACTCTTGAGTGGCTCTTAAATTAAACACAACAACTCCCCCCCTCCAACAAAGCAGCACTTCAGCGCGCGGTACATACTTGCTTTGCCATCACTAATCCTCCTGATTCCCATTTCCCAGCTGCTCTATCTGCCACAGGACTAGTGCCAGACACGGTGTCGTTGACAGGAGATGACAATGTTTACGTTATGAGGTGAGCTGCATTTTCTTTCATGGGGTTATAAACGGCGGGGATCCCGTTTGTGTGTTCAGTTATGGTTTCTCCCTGAAATGCTACCGTGTTGCGTTCACTGACGGCTCAGTGGTATGAAGTCTGACGTCTGCTCCAACCAATGAGAATATATATTTTTGGACAAGACCTATCACTATCAGCAATATACCGTTACTGTCCTCGATTTCTGTCACGATAGCATGCCAAACCGGACTAATTATTACAAATGACCGATGTCGTCGGCTGAATTAGCTCACGATTTGGTGCCAAATGTTGGTTTACAGGAGTTGACGCTTGTGTTACGGATGGTATCTGTGCTCTTTAAAGGCAACGTGTGACATTTCCGGCGAGCCAACGTGGGTTAGCAGTGGTTGAAAGACTAAACTCAAGTCGGATTTTATATTTCCTTTTTTAATAAATACGCCGCTGTCCGATAATGGGTCCATTGAGTGAGGCGTTGGTTTGCTACTGTTCCCTCTGTGCCTGTAACCTTACAGGATCAATGTCGTGACAACCCTACCTGTAAACACTGACTTTGCGTCGCTGAGTTGATAGCAACCGATGCCATTTGGACAGGCTCGCAGTTGGCAATTGCTAGTTAACCCTAACCTACTTGTCCTGGCACCCGCAGTAACATTACTTGAGCTAAAGCTAGCTAAATGTACCATATGGTCGAACTGTAAGCATTGATTAGTGCGGTCTACTTACAATTGGATTAACCAACGTCTGTTGCAACAAGCAACTGTCAAAACATTGTAGTAGTGGTAGCTCTCTGTAAGTGAGTCGACTACATTTGTGTATCAAGATTTCAGGATATAGCTATTATTAGTAAATTAGGGAACGGTATTTGTTAAATGTAATGAGTTTAACCCACGTTGTTAAGAGGCTGGTGTTCAATATTGACATGCTTTGTGGACAGACATGAGAGCACATCTCCCATGGTCTTTGTTTCCTCTCTTCAGGTCTAAATAAGTAGATATTTTTAAGTTTAAGTGACCCTTTTCCTCACTGAAGTTGACAGTGTATGTTATGTCTAACCAAACTAGAGCTGCATTCACAGTTACAGGTCTGGTACTCATTGAAGTCTCATCCTCAAATATACTTAAAAGAGTTTTATTCACCTTAGATTAACTCCAAAGCTGTATATATATATTTACCACTCAAACTGCACAAAACATACATACTCAACTTTTGGTGGCATGAAGCCATGTTTGTTCTCTTTTCTTAATACCTCTTGTTCAAATCCAGCACAATCTTTGTTCTACTGATCAAGTTACAGAGGTCTATGTTTGAGAAAATAAAGGTATAAAGTCATACTGTGTAAATTTCCACACTTGTCAAAACACAACCCATTCAAACTATAATATATCTTTCTGTTGATAACGCTGTATTGTGGGCAGAAACTTGTCAGAGCTGTACAAACCCAGTGAACCAGAGTGAAGGGACTGCCCATCAATGGCCAACCCCACCCCTAAGCTTGATGTCCTGTAATAAAGAAGAGAGTTTACCAGAATTGTTATCATCTGCCATGGAGGAATCTCAGCCCAAACCTGCCACCCCAGAACCAAGTCCTGTTCACACTCCAGCACCAAGTCCGGCACCCAGTCCAGTACCCAGCCCTCTGCTGGACAGGATTGCTTTGCCCTCACCAAACCATGTAGAGGTAAAGTATTACTGTTTTTGTCAACTAATTTAAACTCTTGTGTGACATCCAGTGCTTACGAGCCTGGCAACAAATATTGGATATGTGATTGTCTCAGGTTAGAAATGTATTTAAATGCAGTTAAGTTGAGGTTAATATGCAAGTGAACTATGTGACAAAGAAAGCTCTCGGAGTGCAGTTATCAGTTTCTTGAGCAACTTCTTATCTTTGCACTATCATTATCCAAAATATTCAAGCATATAATCTGCTGGTGTGACGTACATGTGTTACAAATGATAGAGCATGGGACTAAACAGAGATTTTGAAATTGAAGGAGCTTCTGGGACAGTTATCAGTATTTCAGATTTTTAAAAGAACTGCATAAATATGTCCTTCAATGTTAAAAAAAATTAAAAGTAATGGTCTGCTAATGATAGATAATGTTTTTTGACTTTTCAGTTACAGATTGTTATGAAAAAACAAAACACAAAAAACATTTTAAAGCAGAATTATTACACTTCTGTATGGTTTTTAAAGATGTGACGTTATCCTACAAAAAGGCATGTTGATAAGGCTCCAGCTTCACTCATTTGATCTTCCCATTCCAGCACCTGAGTGTGAACCAGATCCAGGTGGTGGTACGGCGCTGCTCTAGTCCAAATGTCACAGAGGAAACCACATATTTTATTCCTCGCAACCCTGTTGTGGATGCTGGCACCAACACAGACCCCCCTGTGGTCTGTTGCCCCTTGCTCCATAGATTCTGCCCATGTCCCCCGAGAGGCCTTCTAGCTTCTCTCATTACCAAAGGTAAATCAAGGAAAAGGTCTGGTTGGCTCAGACACTTATGCATGTTACCTCTTTCTTTTGCACACATGAATAAAAACAATTCATGACATGATTACTTTTATTTCTTTGAATTTTGAAAAAAAAAAAACACTTATACTTCACAATATTTACTTCATAGAACACAATCAGAGAGGGAAAACCACGAGTTCTCAAGAGTCACATTTTGAGACTTCTTTTTATTCAAGAGTATAAGAGGTTGATTTATATCCGGACTATGCCCAATAATACATTATTCATCCTCTTAAGCGTAATGTTTATTAATTATCACGTTCCAATGTAATGTCTGTCCTCTGTGTATCCTCCAGTCCTTTTGGCAGCTGTGCTTTTTGGGGTGGTGTGGTCCATCACCGAGAAAGAATGTCTTCCAGGGGGCAACCTGTTTGGCATCACAATCCTCTTTATCTGCGCACTCGTCGGTGGGAAAGCAGTGGCTCTCATCCGTCTGCCAAAACTTCCCCCATTCCCACCACTCCTGGGTAAGGCAGAAACTTAAATTTTGTATTTATGCTTTAGGAGGTGATGTGCCTATAGCCCATATAATATATTTAATGACACAGATACCCCCACCAAGGTGATGTTTTGTCACACTATACATTAGTGTTAAAACTGCTTATTTGTGTTAAAACTATATGTCTGCCATATAGTTTGCTCTGAGCAATTATATGTTGTAAAGGCTGGTCCTTGACAGCTGTAGTTTTGACAGATCAGTCCTATATTTCAGCTTGAAACAGCGATAATTTGAAGTAAAATTATAGGTTTAGGTGGTGGGTGCACCGTGTTGTCATTACATTGCTCTCAGTTATCCAAACCTCTCACTTTTTTCATTAAGTCTTTCACTCAAGCGTGAGCCAGAGAGGCTCATCAGTAAAAAAAAATGCAGGATAGTTTTTAGCATTTGCTTAAGTGTTTTGTGCCTCTTTTGTCAAGAGAATTACAGTGTAATTCAGGATAGGAAATAGCCGCATGTTGAGTATTCTGTACTTACTGTATGAGAAAATGGAGTGAACACTTGCTGATTAATGTTAAACTTGGAGTATCAAATCCCACTGGGAATTTTATGCCCTATAAGCACTAAAAATAAGAGTACAGTGTGTGCCCTATATACAGAAGCCTCAGTGCAGTCCATATCACACCGGTCGTATTATCTGTTCCCAGTCCAAGCATGATTTGGTGCACGTCTCCTTTTCCTGGCTCTCTTAAGCTGTCCTACCAAAATAAAGGCAAAATGACCCCCCCAGATTAATTTTAAATAAATAAAAGACTAAAAAGATTGAAAGCTTTTTTATGTCAGTAATTTTTCTTGACAATAAGAAAGTTCATGTTAATCAGTATAACTTTGATACTCCCTTGTTCTTAGTCGAGCACACTTAGGCTGCGGTCGTGTTTTGTTGTGTATCGCTTCTGTTCGGTGTAATTATGGCCTACATTTTGATGGCTCTTTTAGTAAATGATTGTGGTAAACTTAAAATTTTATGGGGGCGTCAGTGAGTACATGAGGTGATAAATTGCTTCCGTATTTGTAGTTTTAAATCCATAAACACTTTGAACAAAGCAATCCATAAATCCATAAACACTTTGAACAGAGTAATAATCAGACTGTAGATTTAATTCCTCTTGTTAGATCTTGGCAAAATTTGAAATCTAATCTAATCTAAAACTCGTGCATTTTGAATCGAAAAATCAAGATCATAAGCCACCAGCTGCACCCACTTGGAGATTCAAATCAGGGAAGTGGAGACACTCCTTCGCAAAAACATCATAAGTAGATTGAAGTGTGGCCAAGACAGATCCAAGAGTTTATTATAAACTCATCTTAGGTTTTCCATTGTTTACCTCTGTCTTCATCCAGTACTTTGTTCACCAGATGCGGAGAGGAAAACTGTATGATGATATGATAGATAGATACTGTAGAATAGTGTAAAATGCAGAAATGCATCCATTTGTCCCCACTTATTAACACTTACCAACATTCATATTTTCCCTAATTAAAAGGATTACTTCTGAACAAGTTGAATATTTTCAACATGAAAATGATCAGAAAAGCATAACAGATTTTTGAGTGGAGGTTTGTTGAAATTCTAGTTTTAAGCACTCAGGGTCTTGCGGTGATTCTCAGTGTCTCCGGTATCGAACACAAACAATGTGAGTTCAAAAAGCAACAGGTGATCGCTCTTCCTCCTCTGTATGTGTGTGGGAGTCTTTCACTCTCTCATGCCTTTTTCTGTGTTGCAGGTATGCTGCTGATGGGCTTCATGCTGAAAAACATCCCAGTCATAAAAGATGGAGTGTACATTAACTACAAATGGTCTGCATCACTGAGGAACATCGCCCTGGCTGTTATACTGGCCCGAGCAGGTCTTGGGTTGGATCCCACGGTATGACTTATATATGAAGTCAGTCTTAAACTACGAACTACTTAGTGGTCACATCTGTGTGCATTTAGTTTTCCCATTGTGGTCTATAATTTTAAATGCTGTTAATTCTTACATTTTAAAAAGCTACCATACAGTACTGACTCTAGTTAGCAGTCTGCTGTAATATCTTCAAACAGTGTTACTTACAGCATCAAGTAACACTATGTATGTCAGATTTTTGTAGACAATCCATTGGGAAAAAAAAACAAAAAACAAGTCTGAGCCTCAAAGGAGCAAAAGTTTGTACCCTTTACTCGTATAAAATAGCATAATTTTGTAGCAGCCATGTTTTAAATTCATGACTCATGGTTAGTGTCTGTTTTTTTCAGGCTCTGAAGAAACTGAAATCTGTGTGTGTACGTGTGGCAGCTGGACCCTGCATCATCGAAGCATGTACCACAGCGCTGGTCTCCCACTTCCTCATGGGTTTGCCCTGGGTGTGGGGCTTCATCCTTGGGTAATTCGAACACTTTCTACTCTCTCCACTGGCCTTTTTAGTCATTTCTCGCTCAGTTTGTAGTGTGACATGCAGCAAAGACTAAATAAAGTTGAAATACAGGCTGATCTACTCTGAACAGGAACTCTTTATACTTAACAGTACTTGTAATTTCCCAAACAAGAGCGAAGATGTAGTTTTTTATATATCACATAATTTTACTGTGTGTACTGTGCACACTCTATTCAGCTTCATCTGAACTGATTGTACCTTAGTGATTCTGCCTTGCTTTGTAAACAAGACTGGTTGAACTTTGATTTCAAAATTGAGTCAAACCAACAGAGAACAATGCCCCCTACACTCTTCTCTCTGATAGTCATTAAATCACATTACAACCTGCTCAGCTTTTTCACTTTTAGGGCCAGGTCAACAGTTTGAGCACTATCCAACCGAAATGTCACATTGAATAGACATTTTAGAGTTTAAAATCAAGAATGAAGATTTTAAACACATAAAAGAATAAAGTAATTTTTTCATAAAAGTTTTAAAACTGTATTTAAATCTATAAATACCAGACATTTTTAGAACCAAAACAAATTACACTTATGTTTGCATGCCAATAAAATGCATTTCCAACAGTGTTTCGAGGCTGATGCTCTGAAATGGTTCTTAAAGATAATACCTTATAAACTTAGTCTGTGTGTGTCTGGATTAACAAACATTTATGTCCTCCACCGTCTAGCTTTGTGCTGGGCGCTGTGTCCCCAGCTGTGGTCGTCCCCTCCATGCTGCTGCTGCAGAAAGAAGGTTATGGCCTGGAGCAAGGAATCCCCACCCTCTTGATGGCGGCGGGAAGCTTTGATGACATTCTTGCCATCACAGGGTTCACCACATGCTTGGGAATGGCTTTTGCCACAGGTAACCTCGTTTATACTGTATGCGCGTCTGTGTGAGTGGAGGTAAAGTGCTGAATTGAATTGTTTTTTTGTTTTTTCTTGGAACACAACACCACCTTATCTGTGAGGGAGTGGCGGCAAGTTCAGTGATCAGCTGTCAGCATGGGAAAAGAGTTATTTCTTTTGTGTGTGTAGTTTGTCAGGAGCTCAGCAGAGGGTGTGAGTGTACTGTTTACTTTTATAAAATCAAGAGTGCATCGGGTTTTCTCGCTAAAGCAGGAAGATTTCATGACCTCAGTATAACCTCTGAAGGTTTTTCCTGAACTGCACTCAGAACACCAAGTATTAAAAAGATTATTTAACCTGCTTCTTTCATAAATTGTCACGGTTTGCAAACTGTAGGAAAATAGATTCAGTTAAATAAACTTTTTTAAATGTTTGAGCTCTGCTGATCTTTCCAGGCTCTACATGGTACAACCTTCTGAGAGGAGTACTGGAGGTGGCAGGAGGGATGATTGCTGGAATTCTTCTTGGCTTCCTCATTCAGTACTTTCCCAGTGTGGACCAGGTAGGCCTGCACTTATCATCGTGTTATTAAACAGTTTTCCTACTGCCTGCTCAGAATCGAGTCATTTGAAAAAAATTGGTGATATATTCTGTCATTTACTTTTTAATCTAGAAAAATTTAGTCATGAAGCGATCCTTCTTGGTGCTGGGCCTGTCCGTCTTTGCCGTGTTTGGCAGTGGAGTGGCTGGGTTCCCTGGTTCTGGAGGTCTCTGCACCCTGGTACTCGCTTTTCTGGCTGGCCTTGGCTGGGGAGTAGGAAAGGTAACCAAAGCTTTGACTTCTAAATAAACAGAAAAGGTTAGCCCAGCAGAAAACTACAGACGCATAGTTCATTAATACTTGGAATATCTGCTCTGCTGTACGTCAGTGTTCAAGTTTTCTCCTCTCTGTTTGTCTAAAGGCACAGGTGGAGGAGGTGGTGGGCTGGGCATGGGATGTCTTCCAGCCTCTACTCTTTGGACTAATAGGAGCAGAGATCAGACTTTCTGAGTTGGATGGACACACAGTTGGTGAGGACACTACACACATGGACGCACACACATCATAAAACACAGTCAGGTCGCTGTTGTCACTGTGAGAAATTCAAATATGTCTGTATGGGTGTAAATGTATTTGCCTTGCTAAAAGCGGTGCCCCAGGAGGCTTTACTCTGTCTGTGCTCAGCAAATATTTAACCCTGAGTTTGTGTTAGCACTCACATACGATTGTGTTGTTTTTTTCTGTAAAATACTTGCATCATCCCCACTCATAATTCACTATATGTAGCCATTAGAGATCCAGGATGACTGTGCTTGGCTGTCATTGCACAGACACCACACATTACCCACAGTTACATAATATTTCACTTCTAAATTTTTTTACACCACCTCACACACAGAAACAGGAAAACTTGGCACCTGAAGTTGTTTTTCACAACAACAACATGTTGTGACACTCTTTATGACTCTCATCTGTTTTTGTGCCTAGGTCTTGGTATAGCCTCTTTGCTCATTGCCCTGCTGGTTCGAGTCCTCTTCACTTTTGTGTGTGTGTTGTATGCCGGCTTTAACTTGAAGGAAAAAATATTCATCGCTCTAGCGTGGATGCCCAAAGCCACAGTGCAGGTATGTCAGTGCTAAAAGATTTGTCCGCAGTTGCACTCATCATTTTGTGTTTTGTTTCATTTCTCACAAGTTTGTGTTTTCACAGTGATGAAAGGATTAAGGTGTTTTGGGTGTAGGGTGTCCTCTTGAAGTGATGATAAACTTTACATCATTGTGCCTGTCTTCCATCAGGCAGCTATTGGCTCCACAGCTTTGGACATGGCCAGGAGTAAGAACGACACGCAACTGCAGAAGTACGGCATGGACGTACTGACTGTGGCTGTGCTGGCCATCCTTCTCACAGCTCCTGTAGGAGCTCTCATTATAGGGCTCACTGGTCCCCGTCTGCTACAAAAACCAAAGAACTCGTCCAGTGGTGAGCGTGTCAAACCCAATTTATCAGCTTTTTTCTTAGGTATGTAAAGTCTTTATTCGACAACACAACACTGCAGTCAAGCCTCGCCCTGTAGCTGTGTTTGGGTAGTGAGTAGTTTTTGCATAGGGTAAGATTTGCATAGCTTTTTAGTATGCCTCTATTTACCCTGTCAATCATGCATTCATATCTTTTACATTCACACAGTGGTGGCATTGTTGCTCACTGTCCTCTTCATCTTTCCAGGAACTGCAGCAGAAGCAGAGGATGACAACGAAACTCCTGTCACCTACGAGAGTACACTCTGACAACGCCTGTCCTAGCACAGCAAGAAAAACATTATAGGAGACTTCAGTTTTGCTTTTACACCTCAGACATTTGAGTTTTTTCTTTAGCCACCAAGTGGCTCTCTTTGTCTGTTTGTTGTCAGCTCCTGATGTTTGCCGTGCTGCAGGGACACATCATCACTATTTTTAGCCTTTAGGGGTTTTTCAGTCCTCAGGCTCCCAACAAATGACCCACATGGCACAGCTACACTGTCAAATGAATGTTTATTCAGTTTCACTTTTTTATTAAGGGGAAAAATATTCCCGCCTGTCATTGTCACTGTATCCACTGTCTTTATTATTACTTTTTCTATAAACAAGTTGCTCTATCTGGACTGAGAGGCAGGATTTTTGTAGAAATACTGTCCTGTTTTAAATTAGGCTACACATTTGACTGTAAGTTTTAGATGTTTTTAATTAAGTACAGCATTTTCACTGCTTTGTGTTTGTGTGTGTGCGTGTTACAAGTAAAAATGTACTAGCTGTTTCTTGCTTATAAGACGGGTTTGAGTGGCTCAGGAAGACTCAGGAAAGAATCTAAATCAATACTTTCTTTAGCTTTAAATACAGTGCTGCTAAACACTGATCATCTTTCACATTTATCATGTCTGCTGTTGAATTTAAGAGCAATCAACATGAATTAGGTCCTCATTCAAACCCAACATTTCGTGGTTCATGATGTAGAGATTTTATGTTTGTTACATGTACAATTGTTTTTATTACAAAGTATGAAGTATGCAGTTTAACTTGAAATGTTTTTTTTGATTTGTTTGAATCTATTTACATTTGAAATGATCTTTTATATTGTCAGCAACTATTTATGTTAGATTTACATAAATAAGGATTAGTTTTTTACCAAATATTCTTTAAAAATAAATGATAAAACTTTCCCTTATTTTTGCTGAAGTCAGTGATTCTGTATATTTTCCCAATGAGACAGATTCGTACGATTTGATGAGCTCCGTGCATCGCAACTGCCCTTCTTCAGGTATGTAAACTTTTAATTCTGCATAAGTTTGTCTGCATTTCAGAAATGCTTGCATCGTGGCTCTTCGGATTGAAATATCCCTACAGGATGAATCATCACAACATACACTGCATAAATGTACACTGTTTACCTTTTGAGTAGAACCTCTCAAAGCTCATAATCCTTGCTATTTTTTGTTATATTTACTTTCTATCTGCAGAATGAAAAAATGTACAAAGTGCGAAGTCATCCAAAGACACCATCATGAAAAAGCGGATTTGGAAATAAAGGGCATTTATGTATAAAATATTCCTGATGAAAAAAAAAAAACAGCTGGAAGTCAAATATTTACAACCATCATGATTTTACAGAGACTACAAGTTTACAGAGCCAGTTCTGTGCAGCAGACATTCACCCTCACCAGCATGGTAATGAGATTAAAAATGCAACAATATATTCCTCAATGCAGTGGTTTGAAATGTTTAAACGTTTAAGGCTTTGAACAAAACACAAATGAAGACTAAGTGACCTCCAATACATTCACAATAACTTAAAGGAGAATGATCAGGGTGTTGATAATATCACACCAACAATCAGAAACAGGAGGGAAAAAAACTCTAAACAGACTGTTAGACAATGGCAGAATTAAAGAGGTACAGTACTAAAGAATGATAGTAGGGTTTACTGTTATTTTCAGAGAAAATCCTTATTTTGACTTGATATTGTTAGACATCGTTGCTGATTTGTTTCAAGTTTCCTCCTCAAAGTGGTCCCGTTTGTTGGACAACATGACTTTAGCTGGATTTGCAATTGTACAAAACAGTAACCAGTCTGGAAACTATCATTTTGAGGTGTCTTAGGACCACTTTGAGCAAAGACTGTGTGCCAAACCTTTGACCGATAAAAGCATGACACTATGGCAACACTAGGATTATTTTAAAGAAAAAAAAACTGTTAAAAAAACAAAAAGAACTAAAGACTGTAGAGGTGAAAGAAAACTCCCATCAGAGGTCGACTATAGTATCTTCTTCTTGAGAATAAGTGGTCCCACATTGTCTCCAGTCAGCTCGTTGTGCTTTAAGTGTGACTTATCACAAACAGGAAACTGAAAAACAGGAAACAACTTCAGATTAGCTGAAGGCATGACACACAAACACTTAATTCCCCCTTTGACCCTGAGATACATAAAACAAACTTCAAATGAATTGCTCTCATTTAGGTAGATCAGAGTAAAAGTAAAAGAAGCTCATAAAACACATCAGTTATATTCACACAAATACTGATAATGTGATGATATCTAAAAATAACCTATAGACTTACAGTTTTGGAGCGCCAGCAACGACAGTAGCACACGTTCGCGCTGTTCAGGTCCTCGATGTCTATCTCATTGACCACTTTCGGGTTTTCTTTCTGGATTTTCAGGTTGATCAGGCTGTCTCTCTGCTTCTTCTTCTTGGGCAGGAATGGACGAATGGTCAGATAGCCGAGCAGAGCCAGGATACCAAGGAGAGGCAGCAACCGCAGCCACTCAGACACTACAAACAAAGCAGATCACACCCGTGTAACCAAACATGAGGTACTAACTGGGAGTAATACGATGTTGCTGCTACTAGAAGTGGTGCCTGAAAGCTACCCTGTGCAATAAGCTTCTTTTCCTTATTCCAAGATGTTTTGTAAAGTAAATTTTGATTGACATAAGACTGAAAGACTAAAGTTTAATTTCTAGTTTAATGGCTAACGTGTCTGATGCATGTTGAATATCTGAATACACCTACCTTTATTTTACCACCACAAGAGGAGGGACAAGATTTATTTCCTGGACCAACTGCATATCTATCTGACCTCTTATCTACATCTCTGCTGCATTACTTGGTGACCTCTGAGAAGAATTGTCTCATATGACATCTGTCCAGGGGGGGAAATACCACACTGAGCCATGAAGAGTTTTAGGAAAGGCCCGGCATACATTCCACCATACATGGAGCGGACCGACAAGTGAAGCGCAGTGAGGATTAGCCTCAGTTACGTCATTTTACTTTTAGATGAGAGTTATTCACTGGCTCCTTTAACTTTTTTTTTAATGCTCTTATGCCAATTAAAATACTCAGAATCAAAGGATTCAGATGCCTAATGGGACATGCTAATCCTTAATCCTGTTAAGGAATTATATTTCACATGTACATGAGGATTTAATAAATCATCTGACACTATCAAATTGTCTTCTACTTCTTTAAGCCTGTGCAATTAGTACCCCAACACTAAAATCTTTCGACCATGTTATTGGTTTCTTCAGCTGCACAGTGAGGAACTACTGAAATAGCATGGTTATCGCCACTTAAGCGTGTCACTGCTGCTGGGCTAGCTCGGCCTTTTCAACCTTTTTGGGCTATTTTTAGGATCCACTTGACACTTTGTAAGGGTCTGTGTTGGCCAAGAGGTCAAACTGTGATGGTCAATAAGCTCCAAAAGGAACCTCAAATACGTCATGTCATATTAAGTTTCCTGTATCAGCAGTTGTGCTCAGGTTGTTGTATTTTGATTGTTTGGCTGGGAAATTATTAATGAAACAGCTTTTAATTGTGATGTCATAGAAACCACATGTGATAGGACACAAACTTTTGATTTGGGGAGTAAAGTTTGGGAGTCCTCTCTGTTTTTGTTTTATTCATAGGGATGCACTGATCATAAATTAATTCTTTAAATCTAGCTTGGATAAATCCATTTAAATAATCAGCCAGTAGGGGAGAGTGGGAAAAAAGAGACATTAGAAGTTTATCTATTAACTGTTGTCAAATTTTAGGGGAGAGTGGGGTCAGTTGAGCCACCCCCTGTTGCTTGTAAATGGTAAAAGAAATTGATCATGTGACCAAATATTTAGGAGATGGGCATCAAATTATGGAGTCTGGGAAGATTAGAAGCACATGGTTAAAGGGGTTAGACATTTATTTACAAAAAAAAAACAAAAAACATTTTTCCCTCTTGAAAGTGAATTTAGTCTGTCATAAGTTTTATTAGAATTGTGTTCAGACCAAAAAAGATCATTTAAATTTGTTTTATACATCAATTGTGGTATCTATGAGCTACAACATGAGGTCAAAAACCTTGCATAAAAGTCCACCATTTTTTTGGCAGTTATATGCAATAATAATAAAAAGAATCATTATTTGATAGTGTATAATAGATAAAAATATACATGAACGAGAAGAAGTGACTGTCATTTAGGGAAAGAGAAGGTGAGGGAGGGCTGGGGTAGAGAGTAGGGGGTAGTAGGGATTTACCCCAACTATCTTCTACTCCTCAACTTACCCCACTCCTATGGTCAACTTACCCCACACACGGCGTAAGTTGACCATAGGAGACCACTTTTTTAGCATGCTATATTATCAAGACAGTTATGTTTACACTCATTCTGTTGGTTTGCAGGGGTGCACAACATCTTGAAATATCTGCAGATATACTAGTTAGAGACAAAACTATGATCGCCTTGATGTAGTGATCCCAAATGTGAAAAAAGGTTAATCTTACCCCACTCTTCCCTACTTGCACTTTGTGTCACCTTTGAATGAGTGCATCTCCTCAACTAAATAGGGAGTCAAAATGCACACTCAATCAAAGGGTCTCACTAAAGGATGTTTAATTGATCATTGCTTGAAAGAAGTTATTTTTCTTCTCAAATAAACAACAGATGCAAACCTGCTAGAAATCCTCCAGTACTGAAAATGAATTAGATAAATAACCAGCTGAAAAGGCCATCATGATTATCTACATTGAAGAGGTTTAAACCATTACAACTGAAAGCTATCCACACTGATCCCCATGTACATCCTCTCACTGAAGGACTGACTGCTTTCCTTCACCTGTAGAGGCATCACTTGGCCGTCCGGCGGACTGAACCGGATTCACATGACCAATGTTGCTTTTATCAACATATCACTTTCACCTCAGAGGACAGGCTACAACTATAGACTCTGTATGTTTAAGGTCAAACGAGTATCATCAAAACTTCCCTATCATGTAGGCTTTGAAGCAGTCACGGCTCTTATAAACTTCTCATACTTGGTTGTTTGCACTTTTAGCAAAGACAACAACCGATACGTAAAAGTTTCGTAGCCGGTCGACGTTGACTCAGTATTTAAATTAAGATAAGTAAGTCTTCCACAACACTGCAAAGGATGAGTTTTGGTCAGCATGCAAACATTAGCCATGGTAAAAAGCCACGATATGAGCTGAAGATTGCCCCTAATGAGTTGAGAAGTCCCCCTCACAGTGGAGTCAGGAGGACGGCACAGCTGCGCCGCTTTTTACCTGTCAACCTTGCAAAACCGGTAACAGTCTCCGGAAGCGGAAGCCTCTTCAGATAAGCAGGGAGCTGGACTTTTATTATCCTTGAAATTGTTTCCAAAACCATCTTGAATAACTCAGTGTAGTAGGTTTTGTCATTAGCTTGGACAGTTCCTGGGGTTCGTTCATGTCATTGCGTCTCTTTCCGTGCGTAGCTGGGTACCGGTGCGTAAACTCCCGACGTAAAAATGAGAGAGGAAGAAGAAAAGTACGTGAGCGCCGTCGTGAATACACGTATGAACGACCTATGACGCTGAGGTTTGCGACCAATCAGCGTTGAAGGAGTTGGTGGCTCCTGATTGGATGAATTAAGAACTCATAGGAGAAGGTGGTTTTTGTCTGCTTCAGGGTCTGCTTGTAAAGTTCGCTCTTAAAAATGAAACTTCTGTCATGGCACGTATTCAATCAAGAATTAGGTATCATTAGGGGTTTTATTCAAAATTAGGTTCAATCAGAGCGAAGTGTATGCATTTATGTTTAATGTTTAATACTTTATCAGAAAAAAGTCACTGTTAGACACTGTAGACCTTCATCCACTGACTGTTGTCAACTTTTAGGGGAGAGTGGTGTCAGTTGAGCCAGAGGCTAAATTGAACCACTCCCTGTTGCTTGGAAATTGTCAAAGAAATTGATCATGTGACCAAATATTTAGGGGATGGGCATCAATTCATGGAGTCTGTGAAGGTTGGAGGCACATGGGTGAAAAATGTATTTGCAAAAAAAAAAAACATTTTTCAATCTTGAAAGTGAATTTAGTCTGTCATAAGTTTTATGAGAATTGTGTTCAGACCAACAAAGATCATTTTAAATTTGTTTTATACATCAATTATGGTATCTATGAGCTACAACATGAGGTCAAACACTGAGCATAAAAGTCCACCATTTTAGCTTAGAGGACTAATGAAGTCATCATAGTAGTTCTGGGGTAAGTTGAGTCAGTGGTTCAACTGAGAAAGTAAAGGAGTCTGATGAGAGGATCGGAGTTTCACTTCAGGTTGTTGAAATGTGCCACGTTTTCTCAGAGCAGGCCCAAGCCTTAATGGGGCTCTTAGCAAAATTTGATTTTGCGGCCCTCTATTTCTGCCAGTCATATTGATTGTTGATCTTTCACACACCTTCACAAATCTCTTTGACTAACATTCCCTGACATGCAAACGTACCTTTATCTTGGCTTTTTTTTCCCTCTTCTTCCTCTTTCTTTTCTCTGCTCTTAAAGGATTTGTCCTTTTTTGGGACATTGTTTTGCCCCACAGCTACCCACGCTTTGGATTCTCAGTGCACATTCTACAGCAGGAGGCACGTAACAGCAGTAAGAATCACAGACCTACATCAGCAGCAACACTAAAATGTCTTTATTTTATTTTTAAAATTATTTATTTTATTTATTTATTTATTTATTTATTTTTTATTTTTTTTTTATTTTTTTTTTGGGGGGGGGGGGGGGACCAAGTATGCTTAGTAGTTTGGGCCGGCTCTGCTTGGAATATTGTTTTTGCTATTGTGGGATGTTGTGTGTTAAACAATAAATAATACAAAATGTATAGCTTGTCTGTTAAGAAAATGTAAGCATTGTGGAAATGTGTTCACTGATGGCATATTGTGTGAAAACAACATAAAACGTGTGAATGGTAAGGCCACACATGACCGATACTGTGCCAATTGTGTTTGCAGTTTTGAAAACGTGAGAACTGGTTGGACAAATGCTTGTAAGCAACTGAAAAATACTGTAACAAAACTGATTTAAACATACAATTGAAACTGTAGTGGTGTTAGGTCTGGTTCAGATTTTGTCCAATCATTCTCTTTAAGGACAAAACCAATTACAGTGTTCTCACCTAGTTTTGTAAACAACTCAGTAGATTCAAAGCAATGATATTCATGAGGTCCATGCGCCCTCTTGTGCTAGAAGGTTTTCATTCATTCGTATGCTTGAGAACTACATTTCCCGAAGTCCCCCATCAACAGAGGCATCCGTCTATTCTGCCTGAAGTAATTTCAAGTAGTGTTTCACTTTAAGAATATCGATAACCAGATAAAAATATATAAATATATGATTAAAACGGTGGATAGGAGAAAAACAGAATAAAAAAAAAATCTATCTGATTTAAAGGTACAACTTTTAATGACGGATATTTGTAGGCAGCTAAGTTCCGTCTGTCAGGTCCTCAACCTCTGGTGTCATTGGTGAATGACCGAAGATGTCTCACAGCAGGTTGTTTGCCAGGCTGCTTTGTAAGTTTACCAGTGAATTTTATTATGTTATGCTTTGTAAATTTGACAGTATATTTTACCCCATATGCGTGTACTAGTTTGCTGTATGCTGAACTGAAGACGAGCTCCGCAGGCTCCCTCAGTCTTGCACTCATTCAGGCTAGTTAGCCACGTTAGCATACTAACCGACTCTGCTGTTGTAGTTCAATGACAGTGAGCCTGTCAGCTAGCTTACTGTGAGGCTAAAATCTAACTTTAACCCTCTGTGAACCTTCTTCCAGGACAGAGGCAGAGCTGACTGGTGACCTTGCACGTCCTGTTGCCTCTATGTTGCCTATTAAGACACATTTGCTCTCCTTTGCCTTTGACGTTCATCTAAGAGTGTTTGTAAGAAGCTGAAATATCATTTCTGTCAGTCTGTTTGCAACCTGCTTGATTCTGACAATACAGAGGTGAGGTTCATTCAGGGACACTGCATCATGAGATAAACTAGTGCAGGATGTAGTTTTCCTCCTGCATGGACCTTGAGCTTGTTTCAGAAGCTGGACTTTGCTCAGGATCATTGATGAGATTCTGAGGCTCTGTTAGGAGACCAAAGTTCAGCCTGGAAGAGTGAGCACTGCTGCTTTACATTCAACTCAACAGAGGCCTCTGTGTGGCTGTTGTTTAAAGTAGAATCATATAGTGGACTTTACCATGAATGTAAACATGGATGAAGCAAGTTATTGACCTTCACAACCACACAGTCAGAGGACATCAACGTGTTTCTTATTTGAGGTAGTGCTAAGCAGTTGTTGTTTCCTTCTTGGTTTCTTTTAATGCAAAAGAAGAAAACTTTAGATTAAGTTAGATGAAGTTGCCAGGAAATATGTCTGTCTGACAAGCCATAACATTATGAACACTTGCTCCACACAAGTTCTATTTTTAGGAGGTGTAAAATGTCCAGTTTTGTTGACATGATTAATAGACACTGGTGATTATAGTACTTCACATTTATTATTGAAGATGAAGTGAGCAGTGGTAGTGTACTTTTGTGTGTTTTATTGTGTTCCTAACACTCTATCCACTGAATTAACACAATTAAGGAATCAAAATTGAACATCTTCAGCCTAATGAAGTTGATATAAAGATTTAAATAGCAGAAATCATGTGTCTGACCAACAAATTCAAAAAATGTACATGCTTTGTGAAAGTAGAATTAGCGGCAGAGCTGTTGTATCTGGTTGCCTTCTTTTGCCCAGGTGTTTGTGATGTTAAGGCACGCTCGTGTATAGCCTGCAGTTTTTGAATCAGCAGTAATAAGGTCATTGCAGTACTTGAAGACGGTGGTAGCAGTCTGATACTGACAAACTTTGGAGAATGTACTTGTAACCATGTAGCCTGTGTAGTACATTCCAGGCAGAGGAGTGTGTTCAGCAGCAGACTGCTGTACTCAACCAACAGACTAAAGAACTGTTTCACCCTCTGGCCATTAAACTGAATATCTCTATTCAATGATGGCAGGTGGGAAACAAACTGATGTATTGCTCACTCTGCAACACAAAACAACAATATATCAAACATAATATCAATCTGAATACAACTTTTGAAAATGTTTTTAAAAATGGGTTCACTTCAAACCCATAAAAATGCATTGTACTGTATTAAAATACCTTTCGATTTGGTAACCTTGTCAGTCTCCACGCTATATAACTTTGAGCATTGTTTGTTCAGTGGTGCTTTAAGCCTGTAAGGTAAGGTTGTCACAAAACCGCTCCAGTTGAGGTCCTATGAGATCTCTCACATTAGATGTTAAACTTGACTGAGCCTCATCACTTGCCCTCTGACAGAAATGTGTGCAGCTACTCCCTGTGTTGTGTCTAAACTGGGGATTTGAAGACAGCTGTTTGCAGCCGATGGAGACAGATTTGATAAGAGCTCTGAGATTGGACCGAGTCACACCGTAAACATGTGATTTGGTAAAGAAAAACACAAAGCTAATAGAGTGAGAAAATTGCAAAGCTGGGTGACAACTGTATGAATTTGTCCCTGCGACACTTGTCACATGAAATGATTCAATACCTTGTTGATGTATGAAGCACTGGTGCAGTTTTGAAGGATGTTGAACTGCAGCTTGGCACCGTCATTTAAATATGATACAGTCTATAACTGTAACCATAAAACACAAAGAGACAACCTGAAAATAAGCTCACACTGACAGTCTGGGAATGTGCAGGTACTATTGTACTTTTCTAAATTGATAACATGGTTATATTCAGGGATGGTGAAAAATTTTAGTACATTTTATTACTCAAAAGTCATTTACTTCTTAAAGTATTGACATTCTTATGAGTAATTTTCTCTAACCTTATTAATATAATGATCAAATAATGCATTTATCTGCTTCCACATTAAACTCAGATATCCAGATTGTTTGATTTAAAGTCTTGTTTTTTTTTTTCTCTCCTATTTGCGAGCATATGGGCTTCCTACCCTACACTAGACGCCATGTTCCATGTTCAAAGCCTCAGTTTCAAACACACTCTGGGAATAAATCATCTCAGCGCTCCAACTCCATCTTTAACTTTTCAAAGGATTGTTTACTTTTGTTGAAAAAGTATGGAGCTGTTATTATTATCCTTCTTTTTTACCTTTGAACAGATGACAGTGAGACCTCAGTCTACAAGTATTGATAGATTATATCAACCGATGTATTCTTGTGCCTCTTTTAAATCAAGCTTGTTTCTTTCACTATTCAGTGCAGCAGACCGGGGTCAGGCACTGCTATACAGGCTCGAGGAAAAACCTGTACATCAACAAGGACACCAAGGTCATCTGCCAAGGTTTTACAGGGAAGCAGGTATGTATTTCCCTATAGATACCATAACAACATTAATTTCTTTAGATAAGCTGGCTCTTATTGTGAAATCTCAGAGCAGGTTTTCCTTAACCTCTGTCTAATACTAATACAAACATGAGAAAAAGGTCTGTGTCTGTGTCAAACATGTTTCTGTATGCTCTGTGAGTATGAAATAGTGGGTTAGTGTTGTATGTGAGTGTACATAAAAACCTGGGTAAACAACTTTGTTGGAAAATAGAACACGAATTGCTTCTTACTGCACAGTGAGGGGTCATGACTGTTATGAGATGATTCTGAGAGACTAGAAAACAATGGTGACAATAAAATGGCGCCTGCTCTATAAGCCTGAAAAACACATTTTCAACATGTGGAGGATTGTTCAGATGGGATCGCTGTACGTCCGTCACTGTTAACAGAGAAACTTATACAGAGAGTATACATGAGTTTTTCAATATCAATAAATGATTTTGTGTTTTTCTTTTAAGTTTGTTGAACAAATTACCACCACAGTGCTAAGAGACTCTACTCTTATTATTAAATTTCTAAATGAGTACTAAAAAACACGAATGTTTTAACTTCGGGGGTGAGCCATGTTAGGGCTGGGCGATAAACTGAAAATTAACTGATAACGAAATTTACAACAAAAACCGTCCATATTGGTATATTCGGTGTCAAAAAAATAAATAAAAGTTGGTTTTGGACGTGTGTAGGTAGGCTGTAGTCTCATGTCCCTTTAAGACACTGTCCTACGTCAGAGACATGACTCAACCCCATCCAGTCTGTAACAAAGAGGAAAAGACAGATGAGGAGATGGATGACGGTTCAAAAGTTGTAGCGGCTGGAGTAGACGAAGTTAATGTGGGTGGGGGTGAGCAGCTTGTGGAGTAGTTATCGTCTATTTATTATTATCAAGGTGAACTGTGTTATTGTTTTGACGCCATATCACCCAGCCCTAGACCATGTAACACTTTTTGTTATACCAGCCCCTTATTTTGAAAGGGTAAAACTGGTGCTGACAGGAGGTCTAACTGCCTTTTTGTATTGATTTACTTCATATTTTGAATTCAGATAGCAAACTAACAAAAACATGTAACGCTAATAATAATCTGAATAAAGAATCGATGCATTAAATTAGCCAAGAGTCAACAAATTTTGGCTTTTGCCGCGTAATGTTTTTCCCCTGGGTACAAAACGGCATTTTCAGCAGGTATTTAGAAGAAGACAAATTGTGATAGCTGGTTAAGGCTATTGGTTTATTAAAGTATTGTTCTTTTTTTCCCCAAGGTTAGGGTTAGTTTCACCTGTTTTAGTAAGAAATATAAACTTTGGATGCCCAGTTGTTGATCCCTCAAGTTACTTTTCAAGGCACGGAGAAGTGCAGGTGATTCACTTTGAGCCGTGTCCACTCAAGGAGAATAAAAATCTTGGCAAGCGTGTTAAACAAGCCTGAAACACGGGCTTCACAGATTTATATCCCCCTTCTGTCCTCAATGAACTTTCCATTTTTCATCCTCCAATTTCTCTTCAACATAATAAAAGGTTGTTAAATATAGTTCCAGTGAACACTCCGGATAATTAGAAAAGGATGAGAAATGAAGCAAGAGCTATTGAGTGCACATTTGGGTGTCTTTCTGGGCTGATAAGCAAGCAATTTTTCAAATTTATTGTCTCAACATTTGCGATAATAATGACTGGCAAAAAACAGCAAAGTTAGCAGGGTTAAGGGGTGTGTTACAATTAGAAGAAAAAAATGCTGATTCAGAGCTTCTAATTCCTGTTAATAGGCCAGTTATAATTTTTACACGGGGGTCATTTATCTGCACTTATAGTTATGACCCTTGGCTGCTTTATCTACATTGTTTCAGCATCTTCAGTAATTATTAACTGACTGTGGTGTGATGTGATTTGTTCAGCAGAAAATCAATTTACCCCGCATTTATGCACTGGTTTTCTGGACGAGTACATGTGAGGTTCACTTTGAAGAATTTGCCTCTCAGAGCGTGTTTTTCCCCCTCTGGTGTTATCGCTTCTTAATATTGAGTATTCTCTGTCAAAACAGGCCTGGTGGGAATATTTGTACCAATGAACACACAGTAACAACAGCTGGCTTTGATTGTAAAGACTTCTATAGCACATTTGGGATACATTCATGAACCTCGATCATCAGATACATCCTGCTAAAATTATGAAACACTTCTGCGATAAATTAAATCAGAGAAGATTATTATTATCTATTTGTCTTTTATATACGTATTAGGGGTGGAAGAGAAAATGGATACAGCATAGTATTGCAACATTTTGTCTGGTGATATATCGTATCATCACATTTACCAAGTATGGATTTTTTTCAAATTAACTGCTAATATGAAGTCAAATCTATGATAATGGAGAAAATAAAGTCAACTGTTTGTCCAATGAGGTTGGCAGAGGTGACATCATAGAGCGGGAGAAAGTTAGTACAACAAACATAGCACCTGGAGAAAGACATTAGGAATGCAAACAGGGCACAAATGAGAAGGACCTGACATATGAGGTTTGCAAGATGTGTAACATGAAAATGAAATACTGTGTAAATAAGACAAATATAATGAAAGACAAATGCTTAATTAGCTAAACAGTTGAAAAATTGTATAAATTGCAATACATTGTATCGCAATACTCAATGTATTACAAAATGTTGAAAATCGCACTACTATCATATCGTGGCCCAAGTTTCGTGATAATATCGTATCGTGGGGCCACTAGTGATTCCCACCCAATACCTATGTGGTTTGTTGTCAATTTTTACTGCATAATTTCAGTTTGTGGTTGTAATTGTACAACCCTTGTGTAACTAGAAATGCACCGATCCATTTTTTTCCGATCCGATACCGATACCTGGGCCAAGCGTATCGGCCGATATCCAATACCGATCCAATATGACTGTTGAATGAATGAACTGTATACCTTGCCCTGTGAGTGAAGGCATCAGGCTTGACATTAGCCTTGTTAAAAAGAGGTGACAAATTAACACAGATATAAATGTACTTGATATTATTTATTAACAGATAACAAATCGCACATTGGCACACAGCAAAAAGAAGAGTTCCATGTAAACATTTAGCGCAAAAGGATAGACATAGAATATAGAGTGAACAGAATGGCTGTGTTGCTGTGTCTGATAATAATTCAAACAAAAAAAAGACTGGATCGGCATCATTCATCAGATATCCAATCCAGTTAATTTGTCAAGATCGGAGCCGATATCCGATCTGAATATCGGATTGGTGCATCCCTATGTATAACAATGATGCTTGGTCAATTAACAGAAACACTGGCCAGTGTGATGTGACACATCTGTAAAGCAGCACAAACTGCTGCATCCACAGAAATGACCATTCCTATAAACAAGCTCCACTTTGACTGAAGATAAACATTGTAGCCTGAATAAATGACGGATTCCTAGAGTTGTTCATGCTAGCAAACAAACCGACACACTGCTAAAAATGGACTCTATAATACCGTCTTCTCAAAAGTTTAACCCGCTCTCACTTAGTCTCATTTTAAAACCTGAGAAAAACCCAGCCTCACCTCTGTATCCATCCCTTTCCTTGGCTGCACAGGTGATTAATCCTGGATGGCAGCATATTTCCTCCTTCCTTTCTGTCTGTAATGATATCTCAAGGTTGATGCTGCAGAAGCACCAACACCTCACTTCATTACACACTTACACACACTCTGCCTCCTCTTTCCTTCGTAGGGAACGTTTCACAGTCAGCAATCTCTTGACTATGGCTCCCAGTTAGTCGGAGGTGTCTCACCCGGTAAGGGCGGAAAGACACACCTCGGCCTGCCCGTCTTCAACTCAGTCAAAGAGGTTCGTAAGAAACTTTTAACCTGAAATATCTGTAAATATGGATAAAACTCAAATAAGTGTTGCAGTGGAGAACGACTGCAAGGCTTTATATAATAGATGTTTAAAAAAAACATTAGGTGGCACTATTTCATTACTTATTAAAATTTTCATTTTTAATGCACCAACAATACCTTTTCTTCCGCTCCCTCCTCAGGCGAAGGAGGGCACAGGGGCAGATGCCACTGTGATTTATGTCCCTCCTCCATTTGCGGCTGCAGCCATCATTGAGGCCATTGACGCAGAGATACCCTTGGTGGTGTGCATCACAGAGGGCATCCCCCAGCAGGACATGGTGAGAGTCAAACATAAGCTGCTGCGCCAGGGCTCCACCCGCCTCATAGGCCCCAACTGCCCAGGAGTCATTAATGTAAGTTCTCACACACACACACACACACACACACACACACACACACATACATACTGTGCTGACAGATGCAACACATTAGCATTTCTACTTGTAAAGATGCAGTTGAAAGCTTTCATTATTTACTTATGCTGCTGTTTTCTTTCTTTAGTTTCTGTGTTTTCGCTGCAGATAAATAATAGCAGCTCTGTCGTTTGAATATCAATGTTTTCTGCATTTCGAGAGTGTAGCAAAGTTATCATTTAGGCAAAGGAAACTTTAAGAAGTTCTCTTTACTCATGGGAATTTGAGCAGTGAATATTCATTGAATTTGTTCTGCTTTATTTAAATTGAGCTCATAGTGTAGGGAAAAATGCTGAATTATAGATTACTGCACTCCATAAAGAAAGGCTCCTCTGCAGTAAAAAGAATCACAAACTGGATTCAGGTTCAGCCGAGGACCAAGTGATGGATCATTTCACTTGATATGGAGCAGAAGCATTCGCACATGTCCTGTTAATGTCATTTATTCGAATCTAAGTATATAATTATGTTTTTTTCACAGCCTGGTGAATGTAAGATTGGGATCATGCCAGGGCACATTCACAAGAAAGGAAGAATCGGTGAGGTTTCCTGCTTTCTCTGTTACTGTGATGAAAAGTAGAGTTTTGAATTTGAACATTGAAATCAAAGTTGCATTTGTAACGACTGAAGGGTGTGCAGCTGGTTTGTCTTTAAAAAGAAGTACATCTGCGTACTTCTCTTAAAAAAATAGCAGAATGACTGAAGTGTGATAAAACAGAAATACAAACTTTGTTCATACTCCAGCTATCCTTCACAAGTTAAACTTTCTTAAATGCACTACACTTAAATCCTAGATTGAGTTTCTGCCGTAGACAGCTTGATAAGCAACCTGTGCTGCTGTTGACCAGTGAACCTAAGAGGAAGTCTCTTTTAGACTACATCAACTGTCATCATTTCTGAAGCTTAAACCGAGCATCTGTTGGCGGGTTTGATCTCATTTGTTTGTGCTGTCAGGATGAAACAATTCAGCCAGAGTTGGGGGACAAAATTACAGCTGCATTTGATTTCATTTTATTACACTTGATTGCAGCAATGTTTTGATTTTGATTTGCATAAAAAAAAAAAAAAAAACATAATCATAAACTGTTTCTAAAACTTTTCTCCCAGGTATTGTGTCAAGATCAGGCACCCTGACATATGAAGCTGTGCACCAAACTACACAAGTCGGCCTGGGCCAGTCACTCTGCGTTGGTGAGTATATAAGATTTGGTTATGGCACACAGACACACTGCTCGTAGCATTTTTTTCTCTGCCGACATTATTTGAAATAGTCAGATGAGGTTACAAGACCAAATCTTTCCTGACAGTGAAGAAATGGCGGTTCCTGTTTCCTAACATCATCAGCGGATATATTGCACAACAATGATACTCAGTGATATACCAGGCATTAAGTATCAGAGACCTGCCAACATTTAAAACTTAAAATCAATGAAGTGTGATTGTTTAATTACTTTTACCTTCACCAACAATACTCTAGAATTTAGATTTCCTAACCTTGGATGAATGGTTTTCACCTCATCAGACACCGTGTTTGAAGAAGCACTCACTAAATTTGAAGGCCATCTACTCACATCAGTGCACTAAATTTGCTGCCATCCCAGAGTGCTACTTAAAGATTGAAAAGACTGATTGAGAGGCTCAGGTAAAAGTGGACACTTTGTCTACCTTCAGATCTCTTTATCCCGAAGTTTCAAAGGAAAGTTTCCTCTTTGATACAGGAGGCATAAACTTAGTACAAACCAGAGGTGTACGTTCTCTGTAAGACATTTAAAGTTAGCCAACTTTTAAGGTAAGTTAAAGAGAGCAGTCAAACAGAAGAGTCAGATTCATCAAATCGAGACTCTAAAACAACATTTCCAGTGTTACTGTGTTACTACAAATGAGCTGAACTGAGAGACAAGTGCATCTAGTAGTTGCAGGTACTTCTGTATTTACTTTTAAAACAAAACAAACATCCCCGCCTTGTTATTACCGTACCTGTCCATGATTTTGAAACAGCCTTGTGTCTCTTGTTGACTGATTATTTCTGCGGCTTAACAAACTAAACTTAATTCATGGTGTGCTGCTCCTTATTGTGGTTTTAATTGAAATGATTAGTTTTCAGTTTCCGTCAGCCCTGTTTTCGGGGTCTCCTGATGCAGCTTTTCATGCTCAGAATATTTATTTTTAATTTTAACACACCATCTCGACACACTGCTAATAAAAGATTAATTATTTAACAAAAGCTAATTCCTTTGGCTGACTTATTCGCAGCCAGAAAATCGATATTACAGGCCTGGTCGGACACTGGAATTAACGGGAAAAACAACTTAGCACCATTATTATTTAGACATTTTAATTATAGAGTGTCCTCTAGCCAGACTTCATAAAGCTAGTGTGGCAACAGTATTTAATATTGTAGAGTTCATTAAGAGGGTTTATTGGTGGTTCTGCTTCAGACTTCTTAAGTCTGAGTATGACCTACAGGCTACAGCGGATGACTGTTGTTACAATATTTAAAATTACTGTCCTCCTTGTTGCTGGTAATGTTCCTCTCTGATTATTATTCATATCATTCGTTTCTTGGTGTGTCCAGGTTTTTAATTCAGCTAATATTAATCTCAAGGCAATTTGGTCTGTGATGTTTCAGGTTTCTGGGTGTCTTGCTTTTTGCTTTTCTGAATCCTGGTTTCATTTTATTGAAAATGAGTTCTGGTCCCTTTGAAAGCCCTGTGTCAATGATATGGAAGGGAAAGCATGATTACACTACCAAACAGAGGTCATGGTAAATTAAAATGGTTATGCTATTAAAGGGACTTTGAAGCATCTTTTAAATGGATGGAAAAAAATGTGTTTTTGTCATCTTTGGACTATTAAACAGTACTCTGAAAAATTCCACTCACTGAGGCTTTGGAAAAAATGCAAACCTGTTACTTTTGAGCCTTGATCATGTTTTGAGCCATAAGTCACAGCTGCTGTTAAGTAATATTTCTATTTTAATAATTTCCAGCATTTCATAGTAACATCTTGTCACAATGCAGGTTCCCTATGGGCACTATGATGAGGTTTCAAAGCCTTCCCATAGTGAATACCCGATACCTGGGCTGAGCGTATCGGCAGATATCCGATAACGATCCAATACTACTGTTGAATGAATGAACTGTAGACCTTACCTTGTGAGTGAAGGCATCAGGCTTGACATTAGCCTTGTTAAAAAAAAAGTAACAAATTAACGCAGATATAAATTTACTTAATATTGTTTATTAACAAATAACAAATTGCACATTAGCACAAAGAAGTAAGACTTCCATATAATAAAAGAAAAATTAATTAAAAGAAAAAAAAAGACTGGATTGGAACGCTGGATTTATCCGATATCTGATCTAGTTAATTTGTCAACGTCAGAACTGATATCCAATCCAAATATCGTATCGGTGCATCCCTAGTTTAAACCAGGTTGAAAACTGCATTTCCAATGAGCACTATCACCCTGTATCATCACAAAATTCACCTCAGCTTTGGTTTCAGAAAATACAACCACATAGGCACTACAATTTAGTGTAAATAAATGACCAATCTCACCACATACCAAATCCACAGCCATAAGCAGAGACTGCCTTTTATTTGCTAAGGCTATTTATGAATGAATTTGCTGCTACACATCTAAGGAATGTATAAAAAGTGGCAGTTGGCGAAAATGTTCCTTTATGAACTTCAGATGTTTTAATGAACCAATAATTACCCCTCGGCCAAAACAAATAATTAGAATTATTGAATTGACTTAATAATTAACCCTTGAATAAGGAAGATATCCAACAACCCTCAGAAGAAGTGAATGTTTCTGTAAAACTTAATGTATACTGTCGAGGATGAGGCTGAAAAACGAAGGCCTAGATTCATCGGTGAAGTAGTAAAAAAGTTGAGATATTTAATCCTTTAAAATCCCAGTGGGGCCATCTTCAGCCTGTAATTTGTCTTGCTCTCAGGTCAAAAGATCCAGGCAGTGCAGATTTGTTTCCAGGCATCCCCACTGATCAGCTATGAAAACAGATTAGCGCCTCTTGTGAAGATAAGACCAACTCCGGCACAAATCTGCTTCTTATTCCGCTCAGCATCCGTGTGATCTGCAGGTATTCCCTGGAACGATCATGCAAGTCTGGAGTTTACAACAAGTGTTTGCTTTGTTTTCTGTAAGGTATTGGCGGGGATCCATTCAACGGTACAAACTTCATAGACTGTCTGGAGGTGTTCCTGCAGGACCCCAAGACTGAAGGCATCATTCTTATCGGGGAAATTGGAGGCAACGCTGAGGAGAACGCAGCAGAGTACCTCATACAACACAACTCTGTAAGGAGATAACACACAGCACACCCATTATTTAACCTGGATCTCCTTGTAATATCCTTCGCTACGGTGCCTTACCTCGACAGATATATCTGTTCATATAAAATATTTATTCTTCTATGAATTAGCTCTAAGTCCTCTCAGATCTGCTGCGCACACCGAGAACTATTGTGTGCAGAGAACAAGGTGGAAATATGAGAGTGTTTTTCTTTTGATCACAGCCTCAGGCTTTCTCTCTCAGCTCCCTCTGTCTCAATGATGAAGACAAAGCGTGACAGATGGCATGTAGGGATGAATCACAGGGCATGATCTAGAAATCTGCAGTGTCGAGCTGTAAACCTTTAGCAATGCCCACATGTGATGAACAGCAGTGAGGTGATAATTGGCTCATCAACTCTAGTCGAGTTGCTAACAACTTCACCAGGTCTGTTCCTGGGCTTTTTTCCCTTTCCTGCAGATGATTTTTAATTTTTCAGTGCGAATGTGTTGTGTTTCTGTGTGTGTATTTGTGCGTGCCTGTGGTGCTCTTGAGCTGAGGATTGGACTTGATTTGCCCTCGGTTTCTCTAATGCATGCAAATCTCCCGCTGGCGTCTCAGGAGAATAACTTCTCTCTCTCCACAATTAAAGTTTTACATCCCACCACCACCACATCCCACCCTCCCGCCCGGTCCCCCACCCACTCAATCACCGTGAGTGTTGACAGCGAGGGACAGTTCAAATAAAACCCATGCACCAAATAGAGCCACGTGGGAGTAAGCCGCAGATCTCTAGTGAAAAGTCAATTGCGTGGAAGATCAACCGGCGTACTGTTTTTTTAGAGAGACTTTTGGAGCAAACTTAACTTTACTTGTTTTGAATAAATTTGAATTCGCAACACATTTACAATAACCCAGGGCAGCTCCCCTATGTGAACTTTATATGAATGCAAAGCACAGGCTGACTGCAGAGGAGCAACAGGTGAGTCTGTCCAAAATAAATCAAACCTACAGAATATAGAAGGCCTAAACTTGTTGACATATTATTTTCCCTCCGTTAATCAGTTCAAGTGTGTCAGTGGTCAGGATCAGAGGACACCGACCCTCTGAAACAAGAGCGCTTTTTGTAATTTATCCTAATATGACTTTCAATCCTTGAACTTGCACTATTTAGATTTGGTTAAACACTTTCTCAGCTCTTAAAGGATAAAAAAAATATTGCATCCGGTCTCACCATGGAGCAAAGTTAGACTTAAAAATGAACTGTTTTTGTATCTATTTGAAGTTAAATGTGAAGCAGTGATATAGTCTCTTCGCCTCATTGATAGACTGAATCAGTGTGGTTTACTATTCTTAACTGCCTGGTATAAAAGCCTGAAATTTGTTCAAAACTGACCAACCAGATCATTTCAAATTTCTCAAACTCCTCCCACTTTTTAGACTGATTTTTTCCCCTTTATGTATTATCATAAATGTCACCCTTTCTTATGACGATAGAGTAACAAGAAAGGTTACAAACAAACAATTCAATGATAATCATAACTTTTAATACAGCACCTTTTTGAAACAAAGTTTATGAAGGGAAATAAAACGACAACAATAAAACAGAAAACAACATTAATACAGAAGGTGAAAAAGAAATGAGAGTTTGTAAGGCAAACAGGTTCAGATAAAAAAAATAAAAACACTGACAGAAAAGAATTAGCTATGATTAGCTAGCTAGATCATATTGAAAGTGCTAAAACTGAATTTAGGTAAAAGCTTTTTTATTAAAGTATGGTTTTAGATTAGAATTGAAGATGACACTGATTGGATGAGCCTTATTTCCTTTGACAGGCTAATCCACAGCACAGGCTCTCTAATAGAGACACAGTCACCTTTTGTCTGTCTATGTTTTGAACACGGAGTGTGACAAGACACCAGCCGTGTTCAGGGCCACAGCACATCTAAAACAGTGCAGTCAATATATTCAGTGTCAAAAAATAAATAAAAGTTGTTTTTGTATGTGTGTAGGTAGGCTATGGTCTCATGTCCCTTTTAAGACGTTGTCCTACATCGGAGACGTGACTCCACCCCATCCAGTCTGTAACAAAGAGGGAAAGACAGGTGAGGAGATGGAGGACGTCTCAAAAGTTGTGATGGCTGGAGTAGACTCAAGTTAATGAAGGAGGGGGTGAGCAGCTTGTGGGGTAGTTATCGTCCATTTATCATTATTGAGCTGAACTGCTCAATATATCGTGATATTGATTTGAGGCCATATCAACCAGCCCTACTCTGACATATTAGACGCGTTTCTTCCCTGATAAGTTGTTTTCACCTATGCTGCACTTTGCTGAGTCATTATCTTTTTAGTGGAGCCAGGACAAACTTTCAACTGCTTGCTGTGATTTCCCATTTATAAACAACATGACTGCCAGACACAGACGGCTCAGGGGAGTCTGATGGCTGGAATAGTTAATGCAGAACTCGAGGAGACCTGACATTCACAACACACAGCAGGAGACTGCTGTAGTATTTGTCCACAATGATCACACTAAACTGAGAGGCAAGTCACTTAGATGGCCATAAGAGGGACATATTTCATGTAGTTTGAACTAAAGATGATGATAGACACAACAAGGATTCCTAACGCAGCTTTGTTCAAGCCTGGAGACACTATGTCTGACAAACAGATAACTTAGAGGAGCTTTCAGGGAAAAAAAGACCTTGGTTATTTCGCTGTCTTCACAGCAGCATCTTAACTGGCATGAGGAGCAAATTACAAGGTGTGTGAGGAAGGTCATTTCACTTCTGAAGAGGCCCGTGACCTTAAGTCTGACACAGCAGGTGAAGAGTAATCCTACACTGGGAGACATCAAGATTGAACGGATAGAAGGGTCAAAGGTCTAAACCATTTGTACATCTATATTAAAAAAGAAGAAATTCCACCACAGCCAAGAGTCTCTTATGATAACTTTGTTGATGTACTGTGTCACAAATTATGCAATGTCAGATCAGCAGGTCCTGGTAGACGTCTGTGGACATCTGTGGACTGCAGAATTTTTTAAATATATATATATATATATATATATATATATATATGAGAGAGAGAGAGAGCAATAGATAGATGGATGAAGGGATATAGATAGAGAGATAGATATAGAGAGGTAGATAGAGACAGAGATAGATGGATGGATAGATATGGACATATAGATAGATATAGACATATAGATAGATGGATGGATAGATATAGACATATAGATAGATATAGACATATACAAATAGATAGATATAGACATATAGATAGATATAGACATATACAAATAGATAGATATAGACATATAGATAGATATAGACATATATACAAATAGATAGATATAGACAAATTGATAGATGTAGACATATAGATAGGTAGATATACATATATGGATACATGTACACATATAGACAGATAGATAGATAGATAGATAGATAGATAGATAGATAGATAGATAGATGGATAGATATACATATAGACATAGATGGATAGATGGATAGATATACATATAGACATAGATAGATATACATATATAGATACATGTACACATATAGACTGATAGATATATAGATATAGATAGATATACATTTAAACATAGATAGATAGATAGATAGATAGATAGATAGATATAGATATAGATAGATAGATATAGATAGATAGATAGATATAGATTTTTTTTTAAACAGGATTTAGTAGCAGAAGCAGCCATGTCAGTTAAAAAGCCTCATGATGAGATGAACAGATTTGATTGGACCGGACAGATATATGTCTAAATGGAAAGGTGAGCAGATGCATCCTCGTGAGCAAATGGGACAAAACGTAATCCAAGTCTCCGCTCAGATGTTTGTCAGCTGCTGCATCCAAACCACGGCCTCTTGAAACCACCGAGAAGAGTGTGGAGAAATAACTTCAGAGATAAACTTCATTTAGTCAGAATATTGTGTGGTCATGTATAACACCATCAGTCATAGTAAGGAGTCATTTGAGAAAATAGTTTTTTTTAGGACACTGCGTTTCACATTAACTTGACAAATTCTGCCACTCCGGACACATTAAGTACAAACTGCTCAGTGGAAATAAGGTCTAAAGTCATGATTGATTTGTGTCATGCAACATTAAATATATTGAACTCCCACTTGAGAAACACACATTACACCAGAAGGTGAAGAAGTATTGATTTCTGTATGCAGCAGTGTTACAGCTGAGTTACTGCTGACTGTTTATCTACCAGTGCCTTAATTCTGTAAAATTCAAGAGAAAATCTTTATACTTCCCTCTTGGTTCTGCTGTCGGATTTCATGATGCAGGGCATATTTCAAGGTTCTGTCTTCATCAGTGTCAGCAGTGCTTGGTAACATTATGTGATTTAAAAGTCACCTGTATCAAAGGTCTGCGTATCGTTGCCTCGCAGGCTTTCTGAAGTCAAAAATAGGCTTACAGAGAACAACCATATTACAATTTGCTTCATGCATACCAAGTAGGTCAGAGAATTTGGCACCTAAGCCACCGTAGGGGGTAACTGATTTTTCTCTATATTTCAGAACCAAGTTGTCTCGTGTGGGCTTAGCTAAAGCTCTTGTAATTCCAAGGAAACCACTGAAAAACCAAGGCAGATTGAAGTATAAGGTTTGTTCGCTCCACGTGTGTACACACATGTTGGCTTTACTTCTACCTGTCAGGCGTGTTTGTGTCCCAGTTTGGCTTTTTAAGCCTTTTTGTGCTTCTCCTCACCTTAGACACAGCTGCTCTGTATTTATATAACAAAGTCTTCCTCTAGCCATGTTGGCACTCAGGGATGTGGAAAGTACCCCATTGGCCTCATAATTAAGGTAATATATCTGAACTGCTAACAGCCGAAGACAAAATGCAGGAGAAGTGAGTGATAGTATGACTCCCCTCCCTGTATGTATTGTTAGCACTTAGTATCAAGGGAGGCAGGGATTAATAGAGTAATTAAACCCCTTTCGTTTGAGGTAGATTTAAGACTTGATTCACATGAGGGTGGTTTGTTTATTCACGACGTGATCTGAGTTCTCAATACTGATGGGGGCTTTGCTGCTGCTCTGCTTGTGCTTAGATTTTTGAACACAGCACAGTTGCTCGTAACATATTTGGAGCACTTTAAAGTGATAACCCTCCCCCCTCTCTCTCTCTCTCTCTCTCTCTCTGTCTTTCTCCTCCATTGTGACATTAACTACGCTAAGTGTTAATGTCTCATTAGTGCAGCTTTTCTAGCCAAGGTCCTCCACGTTTTCCTGGCTGATATACGTCCCTGCTCGTCTTAATTATTAAAAGTCATCTCTACTTGATATGATATGAGTTGCTGCCATCTTGCTCATGTCAGTGACAGGAATGGATTTCAAGCTGAGACAGTGAGAGAAGCGGATATGTCTCTGAAGGTCTTCGCTGCGTTGCTCTGACTGTTGAACAAGCCACATTCATCCTGCAAAAGCTGTCTGCCAGATGAGCCACTGCCTTTGTCGAACGCCTAGGACTCGCTCTCTCTGTGTGTGTGTGTGTGTGTGTGTGTGTGTGTGTGTGTGTGTGTGTGTGTGTGTGTGCGTGTGTGTGTGTGCGTGTGTGCGTGTGTGCGTGTGTACGTGCATACACAAAGCCGTCTTCTACAATTAGGTTGTTATTTCTAAGTATGAAATATTAGCTGCTGTACGCGCAGACACACACACTTTCACACTGTGTCCCTTGCGCTGGTTATGATGTTATTGCTGAAGATGAAATATTAGCTCTCTTCACCTTGGAAATGATCTTAACTGTTGAATGTAACATCCATCAATGGGCGAGCAGCACAGACAGGCGCTGAGCTAATCAGTGGCTGCATGACTAATTACCATCTCAGAAATGAGATGATATGAAATGGCAGGAGTCTGAGCTCCTATCTGGTCATACACCAACCCATGCAATTAAATGGCTTGATTGACCCTTTGTTTTAATAATGCAGACTGAGACAGTGATGGCTGGTTAGACAAGCCTGTTACCATGGGGGCTCTGTAATTGGAAGAGATTGGGTGTTTAATATCTAATGAATGAATAAAATGTAGGTGCAGAAAACTAATTCTCCCTATTTTAATCCCCACCATGTTTCGCTCCCTCTTTTCCCGCGTCTTATCTTCTTTGTTGATGTACTAGCACACCTCGGCACCCACCTTTTTGAGTTTACTCTTTTTTTTTTTTACAGCGTTTTTTTTTTTTCCACCTCATTATATGCTCATGTTTTTCTTCCACTTCCACCCCCTGTGTCTAGGGTGCCAATGCAAAGCCCGTGGTGTCCTTCATCGCGGGGCTAACCGCTCCCCCCGGACGCCGTATGGGCCACGCCGGTGCCATCATCGCTGGTGGAAAAGGCGGAGCCAAAGAGAAGATTGCAGCCCTCCAGTCAGCTGGAGTCGTAGTCAGTATGTCCCCTGCACAGCTGGGCAGCACCATGTTCAAGGTGAGAACTTTGTTCCTGCAAGACATGATTGTACATAATAACACTTCGAAAAGGTGACACGGTCTAAAGACTACACTTTCTTGTGACACCTTAGATTAGGCTGATAAACTTTCAAACTTAAACTTTGGGAGGATGTCAAATGGAGGACTTTATATCTCTTTCAGACATTTTAAAATTAAAGTTGAACTACCAATCGTGATATTTTCAGGACTGTAATATTAATGTGGAATTATGAGAGGTAAGGACAGATTATTAAGTGACTTTAACTTCTCTAAATATCTCTAATAGTTTGCCATCTATTACCTGTGATTACCAGCAATAATTCAGTTTTAACACTTCATTATTCTCCTGCCAAGGAACAGTAAAACAATACCTTATAGGATGGAAGTTAGATTGAAGGCATTTCTGAACAATCAAACTCAATTAAGCTTCTCTCCAATGAAAAGTTGACTTCAGCAACATTTAATCTGTCTTAAAGAAATTTGTACTGACCCACTTTTGTTTGTAGTCACTTTTGGAGCCATTTTGTTTCTATTAGTTAGTCAAGCCGAGGACAGACAGGAGATGTGGAGAGAGAGCGGAGGTCGAAATGCAACACCGACTGATGCAGCTGCTCTAAGGTGCCCAGCTATTGTATACAAGGCATTGGCTGAGTCAAACAGCTGTCCCATCATTCAAATCATAAATATATATTTTTTGACTTTTCAAATTAACAAACAAATCTGTGTAATCTGTGTTTCAGTTCATATTTAAAACAATTCTCACACTCCTACAATCTGAGCTTGAGCTCTTCATTTTCCCCTCTGACTCCTGTCTGTTTTCTCAGCCCAGGCTTTAGTCTTCTCTCATTATCAATTTCTCTGTATTTCTTTGCTGCTCTAAGTCACACCACCACCTTACAATCATTCAATCACAAAGAAATTTTGCCCCCAATATCTTACAGACATACAGTAAATACATACTAAGGTCACATTTTCATTGTTTGGATGCAGTATCAAGCTCAAGCAGAGCTAGTATCCAGCAAATATAAACTTAAGACTAGTTCACAACATTTTTCTGAAACTTTTAAAATGGTTTTAAAACCAGATTCAGAGCAGGGTTTGTATGTGCTGGTAGCACTCTAGGGCTGGGCAATTACTCAGATTTCAATTTCAATTTCTATTTTGGCTCCCTGCCCTTTAGTAGCACCATTTTGCATCACTGAGCAGTTGCGGATATGTGAATGTTTACAGGGTACTTGATTTTTTTCCTGTTCCCTCGGAGTAGCAAGGTTGAGATTGAACTTTTAATATGCCATAAAGAAAAGGCAGAAGACAAGGGCAAGTATGAATAAACATGCCCTGACAATGGCTGAGTCGGCAGCACTACCCCTTTATTCAAATTTATCTCTGGGGGAACACTGTTAACAAGATGTATAAAAAATGAAAGAATGTATTACGCCCATTCATCACCTTATATTTTCATTACCACTGCTGGCACTTCTGCACACCAATACAGATTTACACACTTTTTTTTGCCTCTGAAGTTTAATTCATAATCATTGTGTGTAATGATGAAAAACCTGTGTCGTGGTTGTTCACTGCGCTGCATACAGTGTTCATGCATCTCTGTTAATTTCACTGGCCGCTGTGATGACATACTAACGTCTAAGAGAGGCTAATAGACAGACGCTCTGAGTGCGATCCTCGCCGCTCTGCCGTCGCTGACCTGCGTGAGTCACCGTTTAAGTGGTGGAAACAGCAGAAGTTGTTCATCATGGAGATTATCAGCTGTCACAGTACAGTACAGCTACAGATAAACAACTTTATTTCCTGACTCTGTTTATTCACATGTTTGTCTGTTTTTTCTACTCTCTATCAATACTGGAAATCATGGAGTGCGTGCGTCAGCAGTTGTATATTTAGAACCAAAAGACGCATGCTGCATTCTGGGATGTTTTCAGTAGATGAAATGTTAAATGCCAGACATTAGGTGAGCTCTTAACCACCGAGCTGTACGTCACAGACTGGAACCAACAATGCTGAAAATGCTTTTGTCCTCAAAGTTACATAAGCACATTCTGGCTTGATATTGTGTTCATCTTAATAACGGCTACAGATGCGCACTGCCAACTCAGGTCAAGTGGAAACAGGAAGTAGCATTTCTGTTAGGTGCCAGTGTCCCTGTTGATGATAATAAAGCTTTTATGTGGAGCTATACGACAGCGGGATGCTTTTTCTTCCCTGTCAAAAAAAAGGAAGGCAAAATAATAAATTGCCTTAGGTCTAGTTTTTGTTTTTTAATCATAACAGCGTTGTCCCACGCACATCTGGTAGACAGGCGCATAGGAAAGTGATGTAATTTAAAGGAAGTAGTCGCATTCGCACTGTCACCACTCCGAGTTTATTAAAAGTTTCAGTCATAACAAGGAGATGCAGGAAAAAGGAAAAAGTAGATTAACATCAAGAAAGAAAAGAACAAATAAAAGGAGGATGATTCATTTGGAGAGGTGTGTCAAGTGTAGAAAGCTTCGCATTAAACTTTGAGTCCTTAGGAAAGAGAAGTTCTTTTGTTTTGTGAATTTGAAGTTTTTGGAGCTCAGTTACTGAAAATGTTTGCATCTAGTTTTTCTTTTGTCACTAGATTCAGCTGGACTATGTTGACACTCAAAGTAGTTAAGTGTTGTGTGACTGGCTAGTATAGTAGTATTTCTGGGGTGGGGTGTTGTGTTGCCTCAAAAACAAATGCATTGGTGATGGGAAGAACAGTTCTTTTGACTGTACTGAATCTTTAGAATCCGATCATAAAATTGATTCGTTCAAAAGATTCATTCACCAAAATCAGTCAATGTTTCGAATCCATATTCTGCCGGGTGCCGTACACGAGTGAGTGACATAGCGGCGCTGATTGGGAGTTCGTTCATTGAACAAGCCCCTCCCCTCCCCTGCTGCTGAAGTCACAGTATCGTTCGCTGGATGACACATGTCGTTCATTCACCAAGTCGTGAAGGAAGAATCACTCCCCTGCCCTGAAAAACTCACCTCTCTGTGTGCCGTCGCAATTCACATCGGGATGCGAGTGAAACAACACATCAGCAAGCAACACACCCGCTAAACAAGTGCGAGTTGTCGTTCTTTTATATCGCTATAATGCACTGTTTTATCTTAGCCTACATCCTCACAGTGGACGAACTGTTGCTCGGCAGTTTGTGAACGATGCTACACCCCTCCCTCTTCTTCCTGCCTCAAGTCGTTCGGAAGTCGTTTGTTTCGTTCACAGTCTGACTAATTTACACGTTGTTCATCACGAGACTCCGCCCACTTGCTGGCTGGCCGTGTGTCGAGTCAAAGGCGGCAGTTCCACTCCCGACCTGCACGCCACTCTCGCGGCTGAGCTCAACTGAACTGAGAAAGGAACAAATCAGGTCTCAGAGTGATTCCATTCACGTCGTTCATGAATGACACAACACTAAAATGCACCCCAACCGCAGCAGCATTCGCCTATCACACTTGTTTGTCTCGTCTTTGTCAGTGAAGCCCCTCCCACTTTAAAGCTGTGAAGCGTTAAAACCCAAATGCAGAAACAGGCAAACCCGTGTACTGGCAGATAAATCAGGGAAACTTGTAAGACGAGGAATCAGAGCCTAAACGATTCAATTCTGAGTGTTTTCAGTGATATTCAAAGTGCTACTTGAGTAAGAGCGGGATACCAGCAGACTTTTGTTTATTTGAAAAGGACCTCATTTATGTGCAAGGTTCAATATTTATGGCCTTTTGCTTGTTTACAAAGTATCTGAGGCTCGTAATCGCTGCGGCAGATACTATTATTCCATCCTGCTCAATATTCTGCGTACAGCAGGTGTGTACTCGTATCCCGACGTGTGCAGACAAACAGAATGAAAAGTTTCTGTGTCTGTGAGATAAATTCAAACTCAGAACTTAAAGGAAGCGCACACACACAATATTTTAACACACCCCGCCCCCGTCTTCATGTGTGGGAAGCCTGTTGTCATATCCAGCTTGTAAATGTGTTGCTTTTCTCTCACGGCTTGTTTTCTCCCGCTTTCCCCGGCTTGGTATTTTCCCCCGTCTCTGTTTGAGTGGCAACCTCTACTTTCCTCCACCCTCCTCCCTCCTTGTCTTGTCAAGAGTCTGAGTCTGTCTCATGGAGGAAAAAAATGTCTGTTTTTTCTCCTTCTCTGTCACCAAAAAACTCTGCTTTTACTATTTGTGTCGTGATTCTAGCCTTGAGTTAGGATGCCGCCTCAGACCGACAAAGCATCTCTCTGTCTGCTTATTTCACGCATTAACCCCTCATCCTTTTGCCTCGCAACTCTTCCTGTCCCATTCCTTCTATATTTTTTTTTTATCCTTAGTCTCTTTAAGCTCTTTCCCTTAATACTGAACCCTGCGTTTTTCGCTCCACCTCCTACTTGAAGCAAAAAAATATTCCAGTGAACCGGCTCCCCATCATTTGCTGCATCTTTCACAGGAAAGCTCAAGATAAGAGAGGCCGAGTCTGCCTCTAAAACATTTCACAGCCATGGGAATGTTTCCTCCTCAAGGTGGCAGTAGACCTTCAGGTATCCGCACAGCTCTGAGGAAGGGGCTGACGTGTGCTGGAGTGTTTGTGTGTTCTGTAAACCTGATAAACGACACTTGCACTAAGTTACTTTCCCCCCCATGGAAGTGAAATTCAGTGGAAACAAAGTATTCTATCATCCTCCAGTTTGTGTGATATTTCCCTGATTGAATATGTAAATAGCTACAGCTTTTTTTTTTTTTTAATGGTGATCATAATACTCTCATTAGCAGTCACGTGGTTTGACTCTGTGGAAAACACAGCTGCTGTAACCTCAGATAAATCAGATGTCTTCTTTCAGATGTGTCGCTTCAATCACTCAGAATAAGCTCGCTGTTTTAACGTCGACAAGTGGAACTCACTGACACGTACAGCCCTACACGATTTGCACTCTCCAGGAAAAAAAACAACAGGCACTCTCCAGTGCTCTGTATGCCTCTGTTTTCCCCCGCCTCAACAGCAGATCTGATGCATGGGATCAAAAAACAGAGCCGTGTGAATTCTGCATGAATAAATCATTCACTTCTGTCTATCTCACTTCACGTGGTGTGTCTCCCTCTCCCTCTTCCTCTTCTTCTTCTTCTTCTCTATCCTTCTCTCTGTTGTCCATCTCCGTAGGAGTTTGAGAAGAGGAAGATGTTGTAAATTGTGCAAGAAGGCAACTCGACCTTTTACCCCCCTGCCCTGAATATTGAGTCGAACAGCCGGATTCTGGAGGTGGATCTGCCCTGCGGTAGCTGTACACCCTGATTATTTCAACCATGATGCACACACGCAGTGTTTATATTGTAATTTCTGCCATGAACTTGTACCTTGCACACAACAAAAGAATAAAACATAGTGTCTTAATGGAATTCTAAAACAACTCAAATGTACACAGTGTAAAAGCTTTATAGATGTTTTTTTTTTCTTCTCTCCCTCCACACAATGTCAACAAATGAGGGTGTCGAAGAACGCCACGGTAACCTTGGTGATCTGTTTGTTTCTGTTATTCTCTTCCTGCTGTAATCCATCACTCATTTCTCTGGCTGTCCATCTGAATAAGAAAGATTTCTCATATCACTTCTCTGCTGTGTTTGTTTTGATGCTTTTATCGCAGCGATAAAGTCTCACAGTGCAGTGATCCAGTCTGTGTCAGGGTTTTCTCCCTCTGTGAAGTAACGTGAATGCAAAACTTTATATGTGAGAAGAAAACAGGCAAAGATTCAAAAGCTGTCACATGTTGAGTGGGCTCTTCAGCAAAGCTTGAACTTGTGACATATTGTATGTATAGAATTAATTACATAGAGAAGAGGTGAGATAAAGGTGCTGCTTTACCACTGAGAGCTGAAAAAAAAAACTATGATGCCTGACATGTGCATAGAAACATCGATTTTAAGTCATGACCCTTTCTTTTTTTTCTTTCTTTCTTTCTTTCTTTCTTTTATCTCAAACTTTAAGAACATCAACTAAAATAACACATATGTACCCCAAACAACTGTGAATGTCAAAGATAAATTTACACTAACGTACGCACGTCAAAAACAAACAGTTTGAGAAGGAACAGAATGAAGCGAAGAGCTTATTTAGTCCTGCCCCTTCCTTTCAAATCAGAGCCAATAATGAATGGAAAAAAGAAAATCTAATTGAAAACTACATTAGAGATAAAAGCAGAAAACAACTGTGCTGTAGCCTCTGTTTCCATGTAACCTCCTCTGAGTCTGACTGTGAACCAAGAGTCTATGGTACATAAATGTCCCTGGGAAAAAAAACCTGAACCTCATCAACCCTAAAGCTCGAAAACAGACATTAAGTAAGAGGTTTGGAGTTCAAATTGTAAAAGTACAAAGTGAGAATCAATATGTGGAGTCAAGAAAAGTGTCTTGTCTGCAAAGTAAGTTTCAAGGAGAAGAATGTCAGTAAGTTTTTAGCCGCAGGTGGATGATTTCAACATTGTGCTCAAGAGGCTTTTCATATTTTACTTTCAGAAGAACATCGCCTGAAAGTAGAAACTATAAATTCAAGAGGATGACAAACTGGCTAAACCACATCCTGGGACTAAATAAAAATGCCCCCCTTTTTCCTCTCTGTTTAATTAACAACATAAATGATTTCCCAGGAAGAAAAAAAAAAGATTATTCACAATATTTTAGGGCTAAATCATAACAAATGTTATCGCAGGACAATGTTTACCATCAGCAACTTTAAGGGAACATTGAGCAACAGTGACGAGGACAGACTTTGTTTTAGAAGGTAGAAACCCCGAGCAAAACCAGACTGATGGTGGACAATAATTCACGAAACTGTAGTTTACTTTTCATAGTGAGTTGGATTTGACCGTTAAAAGGCTGTGATGAGATTTTCAACAGACAACAATACTCAAGTTAAAGAAACATCAGGCAAGAGGTTAGAGTTGATGCTTTGTCCACTAGGGGCACCAAAATCAAGGATGAGCGTTTGCCTAACAGAGTCCAGTGGTAATGTTTAAACCTGAGAGCTTTAACACCAAATGAAAAAAAGAACTGTTGACAAAACCAGACAAAAAAAACCAACAAAACACTTCAGGTTCAAATTTAGTTTCATTCTGCTCCAGTTTAGTTTAGTTTAGTTTATTAAGGATCCCCATTAGTCTACACCGTAGTGGAGACTATTCTTCCTGGGGTCCAGGCAAAATACATTACAGTACAAACATAAAATGCCGTACAGCATGATCATCAATCCTAGAGTAGAAAACACAATTTACATTAATAGTAAAATAAAAGAAAAAACGGAAAACAGTCCATCAGTCAAAAACGTAATCAAATTTGATATCTTTTCTGATTATTGCTACCTTGAGTCTCTTTTTGAAAACAGATTTATTTCTCATAATAGTCAAGTGTGGTGGAAGCATATTCCAGTATGATATGGCTCTGTACATTACCGTTTTCTTAAGTGCATTGGTTCTGGGCTTAGGTAAAGCAAAGTTACTACTTAGTGGTTGCCTAGTATGATATCCATGTCCCTCACTTGCAGGTATTACCTTTAAAAACAAACAAAGGGGTTTCTGTGAGGACAAAGGGGTTTCTGTGAGGAGTTTAAGTAAAGGTATTTTTCTGTCCCATGATTGTGTCTAATGGAGGCGTAACATTACCTCTAATGAAGTTGTAACCATGAAGACTGTATCACAGTTAGGAGCAAAGTTTCAGATTAACCTCTAATTAAGACAAACCTCTAAATCCAACATAGAGGTAGCAGAAGCTATATGTTAAACCAACACCTCATTACTGAACACATGCTGAAATGAGTGGAGGAAAATGAAGGAGGGAGATAAGGTTACAGTCGCTTCTCCTCCCACTGAATCTTTTCTTAATAAACATGCCAGGGACAAAAGTGTGTAATGAAGCATATAATGCCCTACACTGGACATCTTTACAGTATACTCTTATCTGCTGCACAGCAGTCAGCCGAGGCCGATTATTCAGTGTACACATTGTTAACAATTACTTGTTAATCTGCATTAGTGAATTAACATAATGAGTGACGGTGGAACAGAAAGCTTATTTGTTTAGGGGTTCAGAAGAACTTCTGGCTCGGAGGTTGTCAAGCCGTACTCTGCTTTGGTTTGACTCCTGGATGAAATGTGAAGGAGGCCAAAGTTTGCTCTCTGCTGATGTCTGGCTGCTGTTTAAAGACTTTTTCAGAGTGAGTGCAACTAAACTCAACAAAGCTAAACTATGTCAGATTTAGAAATGGAGCCATTTTGGTAACACTTTATAATAACCATAACTTGATTTATTAATGTTTAATCATCATTTATAAATAGCATATAGACCATTTATAAATAGTATGTTTTACAATTTTAAAAACCAAACCCTAACTTTACATTAATCAACTAAGTAATGTTTATAGGTGGTTTATAAACCAGATATTAACTATTTACAAAGTGCTACTGAGACACATTTTAATCTAGATGTTTTACAACCAACATTTAAACCCTATATAAACCTTTAATAAATAGTCCATTAATAGTTAATGAAAATTATTAATCATAATTTCATTGCTTTTTAATAGTAAATGTAAGGATGCCTAGCCCAGGTTCACACTTGAAAGAATGGAAGGTCTACACAAATGGTCATTTTGACAAGCTTTACTGGTTACAGATCTGGGTTACAGCTTCAGCAGGCCACAAGTGTAACACAAGTGCAACACAAGTGTGACAAAGAGTGGTCCAAGACCATTCAAGTATATATAGCGGTTCACAATCCTAAACATACTGTTGGTATTTAGTTGACCCTAAGAGAAATCCATGTATGGTAAAAACAAAGGACAACATATTTTAAAAGCCTTAGATGAACATGTGGAAGGTCCCAAGAAGGAAATATCATGACAGAACGTATTTTGGGGACCTGTATGATGTAAAATATGGGTATAAGGTTCTTTGGTTGAGGATGGTTGTCAGAGGCCCATGGCTCCAGCAATCTAACACTGAAGTATCTGAGGTATTTGAGTGACACAGCTCCACCACTCTAAAGGCTGAAATGACTGGCTAAAGAAACTCATCCTAACAGTAAAGTAACTTTTAACTGACATTAATAAACTATCTATTTGCCATTTATAATTGGTCTATATGCTGTTTTTAAATGATGATTAAACATTAATAAAATATCTATTTACCATTTATAAATTATGGTTATTATAGAGTGTTACCACCATTTTCATCTGTGTGGCTGAACTCATAGTTTTTCCTCCATCATATAAAACAAGATAACTGGTTATTTTTTCCAGACAAAAATAATTGAATAGCATTTTATCATCTAATTATTGATTTGAAAAAATCAGACAGTCTTGATCCATTTACAGTTCATCTAGCTTTTATAAGGGTATGACATTGGTGACGATGACATTAGCCAACACGTCTAAAATTATCTTGCAGCATGCATGGCTTGACAACCTGTGAAAATGCTTTGTTCCGGGTCAAAGTGTGATCATTTTATTCGAAGCTGTTCATAGTCTACCGATCTGATTGTGTAGTTTGTTTAGGTGGGTTTTAGTTTACTGCGGTTGGAAAGAGATGGTCATGGTGAGCTGTAGAAAACCTCTCTGACCTGGGGGGAGTTAAGCCAAAGGTTATTTCCAGGGTTACAGAAAGCAAGGTGGTCAAACAAAAAGGTCTTGTACTCTGAAACAAACAAACTAAGTACCTTATAAATGAATTTTCTCATTCTCAGAGGGAGCATCTGGGTAATTACCAACGGGGGAGTTTAAATCCCCATCTTGAAGACGATGCAGTTGTCCTTCTGGAAATGACTACACAAATGTTTGAAAGGCAGATTATTGGAGCATTGGATTAAGCAGGCAAAGCATGACAAAAACCAGAAAACAGTATATCCTGAGGTTAAAAACTGTGCCCCATGTTTAGAGGCCAAGAGGAAGGCCAGGTCTAATTCCTATCCACTTCTCTTTACTCTGTCATTCCCCAATCTCTCTCCTTAGTTTCGTACTCTTCTGCTGCTCTGTCTCTAAAATAAAGACACGAAAGATCAAAAGAAAACTGAAAAAAGCCGAACATTTCAATGACTATATCAACAACGTCAGAATTTGTTATGCGTCAAAGTACAAAGACACATAAGATCGCGCTTACTGCTTTGAAAGGATTTGTATTTATTAAGAAAATACTGCCAGCTAGTGCTCACCCTCATTCTGAGCCTGTGCTAAGTACCTTTTACAGGCTGTAAAGTTTAATTGGTCTGCAGTTAAGTGAAATTTGTTCTCAGACAACTGATTTGGGTTTCTTTTACCAAAACCATAACTTAGCATCCAGCCTCACTGATTATGTAGCGTTGATTATGGGTGCATTCAGATGTGATGGCATTGTTCTTGGCCAGAATAAAAAAAATAAAAAAAAACCTTCTAGCTGACATTCTGTCAGACCAAACTTTATATATAAACCCATGAAATGCTGACTGAGTTCCACCCACAGCAAAGACCTCATTACTAAAAGTGTGCCGTCCCCAGGCGAGTCGATCCACTGAGTTGAAGAAACAGAAATATTCCTGGGAGCAGACAGACAGACAGAGAGCAGCCCTAATGAACTCAACAGGGTGCTCTGCAGGTGCCCTCACACACACACACACACACACACACACACACTGCAACACCTTATGACTAATGTATGTGGGGAGAAGTTGAACAGTGCCAAAGTCCTGGGCATCTGAATCACTCTTTAAATTAAGCGTGTGCTAATGAAAGGGTCGAGATGAATCTTACGTGAACAGGTTAGAGAGGATTTTTCCCCTCTTTAAATTTCCACACCAAAACGAGGGATTAGCCCGCGCCTTTCACTCACATTGCTATTATAACAATAGCACAAGCTACCATCTGCCAATTAGGATAATGAAGTTGTTGTTTTCGATAAGTTGTGTGATCTGAAAGGTGTACAGGTGCAGTTTAGATATGTTGCCCCTCTTTGTAATTACCTTGTTTGTTGGCAGCAGCGGCTCGATGAAGTGCTCATCCGTTCAATGTCACACATCGCTCTTTTCAGCCTGAAAGTGCTAGCGATCATTGTCAGATTGTTTCATTGATACCATTGATCCTGCCTGATGCTGCACTATCTCCATTAAAGCACTAGAGAGCGGCGGTAGAAGGAGGAGAAATAAAACCGAGGGGTTTGACAGTAGCAATTTGCATGAAGCAGTATTGTTTTAATAGAACGCCTGGCTTTAGATTGCTTTGGGACTCGAGGGCAAAGACGAGGACAGAGGAGAGGATGTATAGAGATCCGCGAACAGAGCCCCTTTCTTTTTTCCCAGTCAGCTG